TTTTAATTCCGATCATCCTCCCCTCCTCATCTTTAAAGGCGACCGTTGCGATTATAGGTTCTCTGATGTATATTACTACTCCTCTTTTTTTTTGAGGTGCTAGTGAATAAAATTCCTTGCCAAGCTGCAGCTGTGCCAAAAGTGAACTGTGTTTTTTTGAAATGTGTGTTTCCTGAAGGGCGATGAGATCATATTTGCCTTTCTTGAGAGAGTTGAAGATTAGTCTTCTTTTGTTTGGGGTATTTAGCCCGTTGACATTGTTCGAAAGCCGTTTCAATTTATTCGTCATTTGTTGGCTGCGTTGTTCGAGTTAAAGGTCCCATGTCCTTTTCCCCATCGTCATTGTCCAATGAGTCTGGTCTAGGTCTTTTCTTTTCTTTTCTACTTCCATCCTTTTCCTTCTTTTTATCATTAGCATATTCATGGTGCGGGTTAATTGGCTCCCCCTCTCTGGTGGTGCTTAGTGTTGAAGCCAGATCCTTCTGAAGTTTTTTGTAGAATTCTTTAGCTTTATCTTCTGATGTTAGCCAATGTTTGCTGTTCTTATATGTCACTTGAATTCCTTCTAGCCGTTCCCATCTGAATTTGATCTTGTGTTTTTTGAGTTCATCTGTCAAAAAGTAGTATTTTTTCCTCTTGATCATTGATGGGGTCGAGAATTCTTTGAGTATTATCACTTTTTTCCCTCTGTAGCTTGCCTGACCGTTTGCCTTCATCTTAATAATCTCATCCCGAACAGTCTTTCTGCAGAAAGCGACTACGATGTCTCTGGGGACTTTATGTCTCCTGGCGTAGTTAGAGTTGACTCTCTGCAGCGTATCTATCTCCTTGTTCAGTTCTTCAGGTGCAATATTTATCAAGCCTGCTGCTATTTCTCGGATTATCTCTCTCAGATTTTCTCCTTCTTTTTCTTCAATATTCCTGAATCTGAGTTGGAAATCGGTCTCTTTGCACGCCCAGAGTTCTTGTTGCTTTTCTAGCTTGTCATTTATTTCCTCCAGCTTTTTTATCTTGGCTTCAGTTTTTTCCTGATTTTTTTTTAAACTCGTATTCTCTTTCTTCAGTACTTTTATTTCGTCCTGGACTCCGCAGACCTCTTTTTGTATGTGGGCCATATCCTCTTTCATTTCTTGTCTAAGTTTCCCCATTTCTCTCTGAAATAACTTTTCCATGTTTTGTTGTGTTTTTTCTTGACTGTCTTCTATTTTTTTTTCTATGTTCTCCTGCATCTTCTGCATTTCCTGTAGTAACTCTTTAAGTGTTGTCTCGTGTTGTGTTGACATCCTCCTGGCAGGGATAGGAGTCGTACTCATTGTTGAGGGAGTGGTCAGAGAGGTCATAGTTGCGGATGTAGTTATCGAACTTGTTATTACATTTGTTGACTTATTTTGTTTACCTGTTATTGGGTTTTTATCCATCCTCCTATTTCTTCCCCTTGGTGTTGTTACTTTAGTAGTATTGCTTCATCACTCCAACAAATTAACTTAATTTTGCCCTTCGCTGGTATCTCCAAACAGCGTTTGCTATCTTCCTGGTATCCTATAGTCTGTCGTTGGTCTACACTTTTTCCTTCCTTAAGGGTCTCTTCCAACCTGTTCTTTTTCTCCGCTCTTCCTCTTTTTTTTTTTGTTAAGACCTTCTATCCCCTTCTTCTAGGTGAACTCTTTTCCACAGCCCCCTTAGTTTCCACCTCGCCCAACCCCTCCAGAGCCCATCCACTTTCGTAGCCTACCTTCTCCGTGTATCCCGATGTAGTATTACAGGTTGTTGCCCCGTCCTTTCCTGTATCCCTCTCTTCCCTCCCTTCTTCTTGGGTATTTCTTTGGGATCTTCCTTTCTTGTGGCCTCTTCGGTGCTCTCTGGCGTTTCTTTCCCTTCCCTGCGGCCTCCGCTCCTCTCTCCGCTCTCTCTCCACAGTCCCCTCGCGAGAGTTCTGTTGTCTCGCGTAGCTGTACGAGAGTAGCGCGAGTAGCGCGAGTAGCGCGCCGGCGACTCGTGAGTCGGGCGCTGGTCTACTCCTCAATCAAACTGCGTTTCGGAGGGATGGGGGCAGGAAAGTGTCGGACGGGTAAGGCAACGGGTAAAGGGCGAGTTGGGAGCTCCGGGTTAGGCTGGGTCAGCCTGGACAGTTGAGTTTGGAAGGCTGTTTGTGCTGGTTGAGGGCTGGTGGGCTGGTGGGGAGTTGGTGGGGGGTAGGTGAGGTTAGCGGGTAGAGGAAGCAGTCTACGTTGGCTTACTATAACCCCCTATGGCCAGAGGGAGTCCTCAGCTGAGCTGAGTAACTACATAGCTAAGTGGCTGCTTAGTTGAGTGACTGAGTAGCTGCGTAGTATAGAGGTGGGGTGGCAAGTAATAAGCCGAGGCGGTGTGAGTGCTGCTTTTCCAAGCGCGCTCCGCCGCTTTCCGTTCCCTTCCACTTCTTCCACCCTCCACCTTTCCCTTAGGTTCTTGCGTTCCAATGTTATTTACCTTATTCTTGTTGTTGTTGTTTTGTTGGCCGTTTTTGCTTCTAATTTGCTCCTTTGTTACCAACTCACGCCAAATTAGTCCTTTGTTCGCGCCGGGCCATATCTGCGTGCGTTCACCAGGTGCTCTCTACTGCTCTCTAGTAGAGATGATAGTGATGGTAGAGATAGTAAATCCTGTAACCCCGCTTCTCTATTTCTTTCTTTTCTTTCAGTTCTTAGTTTACACTTAAAGCTTTACGAAGGCAGGCGGCGATTACGGCTCTTCCGGGCCGTGCCTTCCCCTTGGGCGCCAGCTCCCTGGAACCGCCGAGCGGGATTGACCGCCCCCCTTGAGGGGAGACGGTTCTTACCCGCCCACGTTCTTCTTGGGGGCTTTGCTTCAAAGCGACCTCTTGTCCGTCGCTTTGCCGGGGTGTATACCCCAATACCCTGCTCTGGGGATGCTCAGGTCCTCTGTCGGCTCGCAGAGCCGCGGAGACCTGCTGCTGCCGCCATAACTCCTCCGCCGGAAGTCCAGGATTCAAAACGATCTTGACAGATTAGAGAGATGGGCCAAAACTAACAAAATGAAGTTCAACAGTGACAAATGCAATATACTCCACTTGCACGGGAAAAACGAAATGCAAAGATACAAAATGGGGGACACGTGGCCCAAGAGCAGTTTGTGTGAAAAAGATCTTGGAGTCCTCGTGGACACAAGTTAAACATGAGCCAACAATGTGATGTGATGGCAAAAAAGCCAATGGGATTTTGGCCTGCATCAATAAGAGCATAGTGTCTAGATCTAGGGAAATCATGCTACCCCTCTACTCTGCCTTGGTTAGACCACAACTGGAATGCTGTGTCCAATTCTGGGACCACGATTGAAGGGAGATATTGACAAGCTGGAATGTCTCCAGAGGAGGGCAACTAAAATGATCAAGGGTCTGGAGAACAAGCCCTATGAGGAGCGGCTTAAAGAGCTGGGCATGTTTAGCCTGAAGAAGAGAAGGATGAGAGGAGATATGATAGCCATGTATAAATATGTGAGAGGAAGCCACAGGGAGGAGGGAGCAAGCTTGTTTTCTGCTTCCCTGGAGACTAGGATGAGGAACAATGGCTTCAAACTACAAGAAGGAGATTCCATCTGAACATGAGGAAGAACTTCCTGACTGTGAGAGCCGTTCAGCAGTGGAACTCTCTGCCCCGGAGTGTGGTGGAGGCTCCTTCTTTGGAAGCTTTTAAACAGAGGCTGGATGGCTATTTGTCAGGGGTGATTTGAATGCAATATTCCTGCTTCTTGGCAGAATGAGGTTGGACTGGATGGCCCATGAGGTCTCTTCCAACTCTTTGATTCTATGATTAGGAACAGACAATTTAGAGGGACTGCAGCACTTTGCTTTTGCCTGAGCCAAGAAGGAAGGTGACGCTCCTTCCCTCCTCCTTCAATCCCTTGCTCAGGTAATTGACCTTGAAACCACTTTTGCACTTTGAACTTCGTAGGTTCTGGCAATGGATGTAAGCTGGGAACAAAGGGAGGAAGTGGGAAGAAGAGGGACATTAGAAACTGGCTGAAAAAGTGACATGCCAGAGGATAAATTGGGACTGTCAGAATAAATTGGGACTGTCTCTCACAAGTCAAGACAGTACGATGAGCAAACACTAATACAGAATTCTTTAAAAGCCTTTCAGGATGAGGACCAAGCTGAAATATTCAGAATCGATTATTTTGAACAGAAAAAAACTTTTTGTATGGCTTTCATGTCCATGCTATAGTCTGGAGCTTATTTTAGGGTTCAGCCTGTCAGATAATTCCATTAAAAGTTCACCCTGAGGCCTAAAGCAGACTTCCTATAGCACTGACAGAAAAGTAACTGGAAGCTACTGGATTTTCACATTAAACCATATGAAAAGGTTAAGGCAGCATACTCCACTTACAGATTTCACACTTTCTAGGCTGCATTGTAAGTGAGAACACTTAATGTATCATACAGCATAATGTAACAACATGAATAAGAACATGAATATTTAGGCTGTAGTTTAGAAGAAGGAAGGGAGGGAGGCTGCCTACAATTACCAAAAAATAAACAGAAAAGGCACAAGAAATATCTTAATTAATGAACATTTAACAGGCACCAAATAGTGTTTATTATATATTTTCAAGGGCAATTTGCTAAATAATGAACCAACATGTTCCATAACTGTCAGTGGTCAGGCTGTGATGGCCAATCTTTGGTCAGAAAACTAGTTGCAATGGGCCTACAATATGCAGAAAAAAGAGGTATATGTACCAGACACAAGAGTCAGTTCAGATTCAACTCTGACAATTCAGACAACCATTAGATTTAGAAAGCTATGGAGATCATCTCAAGACTGAATCCAAAGTCAAATTCAGAAGCTCAGTCAGATATCTGTTTCCCAATTAGATGGCATTTGCAGATGAACAGAACATCTTAAAGGGATGAAATATGTCCACTTTTTTGGGGGGGGGGGGATGAAATAGAATTTTAGGCACTAACTTCCTTTAAGTTGAAAATATGGTTGCTCACTTACCAAACCAAGTAATGTTTGATTCTTGCAGCTATTTGTCTTAGCTGTGGTTTCTCTTCTAGCTTCCGTTTTCTAACTGGAAAAAGATCAGTGATGATCTCTAGTTTCCTGCCACTTTAAGCTTGTGATACAGGTGTAGCATTTTGTTTCTTAAGAGTTCAGCTCAGTTTAAGAAACACCCACGGAAAGCATGCAAGCAACAACAGCTTCAGAACAGTTGCACACCCACTCTCCTTCTCATATCTCAGCAACTGGGCCAAACCACCTTGTTTAGATCAAGAAAAGAAACTGATGCTTGACAGCTGACATTTACCTTACCTTCTAATTCAGGGTCATGCATGCTATTTCATTACAAAACAAGGACACTGGACTATAAGGCTGAGTTTCTTGGAGGTTCACTGAACTTGAGGTGTGCTTTTCTGTCACAAACCATACACATTTTACACAACACATATCCACATATAGGCATATGTGCCACTTTCCTGGATTCCATGAGGCTGGGTATGAATGAATAATACAAACAAAATGACAGAACTTCAGGCAATTTGTAGAGTTATACTCTGTCGGTGGTTGAAATCCATGGACAGAGTGAGCTCCTGTTGTTAGCCCCAGCTTCTGCAGTTTGAAAACGGGAAGGTAACAGCACTCCATGCAGTCATGCCAGCCACATGGCCTTGATTTTGTCTGCCTTTGCTTCTTAAGTCAAGAGTTGATTTTTGTGTATGTGCTTTAATTGCATGCTGTTTTTAGTTTTAAATTGGTTTTACTCTGATTTTAAAGAATATTTTAATCTCTTGGGCTAAGAGGAAATAAACAACTACTTTGGATAAATAAAATATATATGTGCAACAAATCTGCCATTAGATAATCATCTCAAAATCCAATATACAGGCCAACAGCTGTGAAGCCTCAGCTATTCCTGCTGTGTTAGAAGTTCTAATTGCATCTTCAGAGAAATTGAAACTCAAAATTGTAGTTTATAAATGTTTATTGGAAAAGACTAAATTTGATGTAAATTAAGTTAGTAGTGAGTGGAAGAGAGAGTTAGGTCATCCTGTAGAAAATAACCAATGGAAAATTGCCGTAGCATCAATATTTAAAATCTCTTCAGATTTTAAAGTAGTCTCAGTTCAGCAAAAATGGAAGTTTCTGGCACATTGGATACGACATCTCTTTTTAGGGGGGGGGGGGAATAGTACTTTAGCTAAATGTTGTAATTAATACAGATAATGCTCCTTTGAGATGTATGATATGGTGTGACTAGTGCTTGTTCCTTTCTGACTAGGCATATGATGGCATCTAAGAGTACCTTGGACTGCAAGATCAAACCAGTCCATACCCCAGGAAATAAAGCCCGACTGCTCACTGGAGGGAAGGATATTAGAGGCAAAGATGAAGTACTTTGGCCACATCATGAGAAGACAGGAAAGATTGGAGAGGACAATGATGCTGGGAAAATTGAAGGAAAAAGGAAGAGGGACAAACCAAGGGCAAGATTGATGGATGATATCCTTGAAGTGACTGGCTTGACTTAGAAGGAGCGGGGGGTGGCCACGGCTGATAGGGAGCTCTGGTGGGGCTGGTCCATGAGGTCTCAATAAGTTGGAAGTGACTGAATGAATAAACAACAACATATGATAGCATATACATTTTATATTAGAAAAATATAAAAATAAGTACGCACATGTCTACATATGGAATTGATATGGTGGAGTGGCCTGAGTAAGTATTGTCAAGCTCTCCAGGAGACAAGAGTTCAAATCCCCATTCAGCCAGAGAAATCCACTTAATGACTTTAGGCAAGTCACTGTCTCCAATGAGAAAAATAAACTGCATTCATGTTACTAGGAATATAAGGTATGTTCAGCATGGCTGCAGCTTGGATACTCTTATTGTTCTCAATAAGGTTACATGCTCCAAGATTACAAAGAAATATTTAGCATCCATCTTAGAGTGCACATACACTGTAGAATTGGTGCAGTTTGGCACCAATTTAAATCAGGACTGAGTGCTATGGAATCACAGGAATTTTAATTTTACAAGGTCTTTAGCCTTCTCTGCCAAAGAGTACCAGTGCTGCCCCAAACTACAGATCCCATGATTCCATAGTAGTAACCCATAGCAGTTAAAATGGTGCCAAACTGCATTAATTCTACATGAAACATATATTCTTGTGTAAATACCAAAATAATGTTTTAGGATATACAGCCAGATAATTTAAATATGTGACTTAGGCTATAACTACAGTGTTCTCTTGCTACTCCACAGTTCGCTTTCCTTGGACTTGCTGTTTCACATTTTTAAATAAAAATAGGAATTTTAAATATACAAGTAGCGAGGGAATACTGTACTGTATACCCGTTACCTGTGAGGACCCCCATGTGTGGTTAAAATCATCCCCTCCGATGCCATGTTTCCCAGCACAGCCACAGGAAGGTGAAGAAGCCACATGCGAGTGGGGAAGGAGGAGGAGAAGGGGAGCCAGGCGTGAGAGGAGGAGCCAGTGGGAAGTGTGGTGTGCAAGGGGAGGGGGATGGAGGGAGGAAGGGAGGGAGGGGGAAAGAGAAGGTGAAGGGATTGAGTGAGTGAGAGAAGGGGAGGGGGAGAGAGGAGTGGGTGGAGCCACTCCTACGAGGGGACGGTCCTATGCCTCATGTGCGCTGAGTCAATAATGTACATATATAGCGTCCCTACTTTGTGGATTTTTACTTATCACAGGTGGTCCTGGAACGTAACACCCGCAATAAGTGAGGGAACACTGTATACCCTATGTGTCTCTTATTTTTCTTCCTATCTTTTTTTGCATGTTTTTAATCCAATACTTTACATTTGTTTTTGTTTTTTTGTTTTTTAATCAGAATATTTATCCAATCATCATCAGCATTTTCCTTTCCTAGCTTTTACCATTGGTGCATATTTGTTTACATTTATTTCTCTCTCTTTGTTTATCCTGTTGTTTCTTTTTGATAATAAATTCTAAAATAATAATAAGGTATCAGTTCTACACTACTGGTAAATTGCTTTCTTTTTCTGAGTCTATGTGCATTCAACTCCCACCTATGATCTTGCCTCCATAAACAAACATTGTATTGCTTTTTATATACTAGACTTCTTTTTTCTTCTTTTTCTGTTTCCCCTCCAAGGGGCTCAGTGCATATTTTAGCCAACCAACTGCTGTGTCTCAGACAGAGAAGCAGTACATTGCCTAAGGCTAACCAGTAAGCTTCACAGCCAAACCAGGATTCGATTCTGGGCTTTCAATATCTAGCTAGACTGTTGAGAGGAGATGATGATGATTATAATGATTCAGTCTCAAGGTTTTTTGCTATTCCTAAGTTTCCTCTCCTCTTTTATTCTCTTCCAGAAGCCAATGAAAATGATTAAACCAATACTATTTACTCCAAGAAAAACATTTAAGAAGTGCAATTTATAATTACTAAGGGCCAAACTAAACCAGGAAGGAGGGTTGCAACAAAAATACAATCTCTTATTGTGTTGTCTGTCTTTCATATTGTTATTGTATGGCTTCAAGGTCTTTGTGACTCATGGAAACCCAAGTTGGCCCAATTGCTTTCCTAAATCTCAAGTCCTCTGCGTGTATTACAGCTCCCAATTGGTTCAATGAAACACACAGGAGTTGAAGACAGGAACAGCATGGAGGGCAGGGGGTAGCAAGTTCCAAATCCAACATGTTTTCCAAGTAGAAACATGAATATTACATAGAGAATTTAGACATGTTTGAGAACATGAGAAAAAGAGATGATTGGTGCAGTTCCAGGATCCACAATCTCTTTGGTTCAAAAGTACATTCATTTACAGTTTCTAATTGGTGCAAATCAGGATCCGCAATCCCATTGGTTCAAAAGTACATTTATTTGTAGTTTGTTATTGGTGCATAGTATGGAATAAACTGTCATTAGTTGCAGTTGAAGCTGTCCACTGTCTGCTAGTGTCCAACTCTGGGAGGGTAGAGGATTGGGGGAGAATGTGGGCTGGTTTATAGAGAACAAAGTTGATGCACTTTCCCCTGGGGACATGGATCTCATAGGATTCCCAGATTGGGAAAAAAAATGAATGAATTCCTATGCACATTGCACATATCTTATTTGTAGTGCAAAAGCCACTTAAAAACAATACAATAATTAAAATGAAGAACAATTTTAACAAATATAAATTTATTAGTATTTCAATGGGAAGTGTGGTCCTGCTTTTGGCTGATGAGATAGGATTGTTGTTGTTGTTGTTGTGTGCTTTTGAGTTGTTACAGACTTTGGTTGACCCTGAGCGAGGGCCAGGTAAATGACCTTTGAGGGCCGCATCCTGTCCCTGGGCCTTCGTTTGGTTCAGTTCAGTTTCTACCTATCTTCACAATCACATCTTCCCCTATGAACCTGCATGGGCTTTAAGATCAGCTGGGAAGGCCTTTCTGGTGCTCATACCTCCATCACAAGCACGGTTGGTGGGAATGAGGGAGAGGGCCTTCTCAGTGGTGCTCCCCGGCTTTGGAACTCTCTCTCCAGGAGATTAGATTAGTGACAACCATGTCCACCTTCCATAAAGACCTGAAAACTTGTATGTTTCAATGTGCCTTTGATTTGGGAGGAGTCAGTCTTTTTTTGGAAACCACCCTGAGTCCTTTCAGGGAGAGAGCGCATGTTATAAATAAAGTTTTATTATTATTTATTATTCTATTTGATTAATCAGTTCATCTATTGACTACTTCTCCCAACCCTAACTAATTGTCTGTCTCACTAGCACTTTATTACAGCCCAGCCCTTACAACTGTATTGCACTAGCCCCACCCTCCTAGATCTGAACACGACCACTGTTCTCACCTACTGATTGATGGTTATTGATGTTTTTATGATGCCTGTTGCATGGTTTATAAGAATAAAATTATTATTGATGGGTTTATGAGTTAGTCAAACTTAGGTCTTTTGTGAGACAAGACAGCTGGCTATAATAATACTTTATTTATAGGCTGTCCTATCTCCCCGAGGGGACTAATTGCCATTCTCTTGTTTATTGTGAATGTGTGAGGCATGGGGAGGTATGATGCTTGTGTGTACTTACTGGATAAATGGGTAAGGCTCAGAAAAAAAAAAGACTTGGTGGTGTCCTTTGTGGAAATCCAGTAGGACAAGATCCCTAGGTCATCTATCCAGGCCCTGATGGTGATCCTGATTTGGGGGGGGGGGGTGTTCAGTAATACTATAATGATTGGTAAAGAATGAAGCCCAGTTTGCCATGATTGTGCCACAAGGGAATACTGCAAACATTGGTCCCAGTAAACACCTTTGGTGACTTCGGGAGTGCCCCAGCCCTACTGTCATGTGATTCTACATTTCTCTTCAACTTCCCTTTTTGTTTCATTTGACAGGAGTTTATGTCTGGCAGGTCTCCACACACACACACACCCATTCTGTGTTGCAAAAGAAGCATGTACAGGTTGAACATTGTAATCCAAAATGCTTGGGACCAGAAATGTTCTTATATATATGAACACTTCATATATTTGAAACATGGCTATACGTGAGATATCTTGGTGATAGGATCCAAGGACCTTATTTCATTAGGCTATACTCCAATTCTAAAACTCTTTTAACATGATTTCAAATGGGTCCTGTCACAAGATGTTTTCCCATTCCATCAGTAATAGAATTTGTCTGCAAAAGTCACAGAAACAGAGTAATTGCACACAGGGTCCTAATAATGTTGCTGAGGCACTGTTTTATATGTTGCTGAGGCACTGTTTTGATATGTGATCAGAAAATCAGTATGTATTCTTTCAGCTAAAATCTCATGAGAATGGAAGTTTGAGACTTACGTCAAGACACAATATTGTCCGGGGGGAAGGGGGGGGGAGAGAAAAGTGTCGTAAGGAGGCATTTGAATGGATTGAGAGGAGTCAGTCTTCTGTGATGAGTCAACATGCAGTATTTTCAAATCATGAGAAACATAATAACTGGGTGTGACTGGGGTATACATCTCGTCTCAACAGAATATGTATCCAGTCCTAAAAAAATACGGGATGCATGCTAATATAAACAGATCATAACCCAATCTGATAAGATCTCAAGTCTAAACATGACATTCACCTCAGAAATAATGAGACATGAATGTGAGGGAAATTGGCACTGAAAGAGATAGCACACTGTGGCCATTGCCTTTCCAATTTCTGGGCTTTGTTCTCTCTTCATTGAAAATTTCTTTCAGTTCCAAATTTTTATTATCATAGAGAGTGAGACACTAAAAGTGGTTTGTACCTAGAAGTTCTACATTTACTGTGTTTGCATTGTTGGTACTATCTACCCCTTTTCTTCAGCTACATAAACTATTTCTAAATGGTCAAATGATACTTTAAGGACTCGAGAAAAATTTCATAGGTGGGATTATTACATGGGGAAGGAAATGCTCACTATAACTACAATGCTGGCTGTGTTTGAGAAACATGTCAAGATGTAGAAACATCTTAGAGGGTCAGATCAGGTCATGATAAAGGGAGAAGAAGAGAGATTGTAAAGTAGGGCTATGTGATTATTTATCTTGAACCCAAGGAAGTCATTTGGAATTTCAATGTTCACCTAAAGACAGGAACCTGTGGTTCAAGAAGGACATCAGCAAACAAAAGTGTCCAGAGAAGTATGATTAAAAGTTTGGAAGCCAAGGCTTATGAGGTGGTTATGTATAACTTGGAAAACAAAGGTGATATGATAGCTCTTTTCCCCAGACTGACCCAAACTCCTTGTTTTGAGTTGCTGACTCTGCAATCAATGGCATGAATTTTTATTTGTATACATAAATACTTTTGAAAACACAAGTGCACAGAAAACAAATTACAAAATCGGTTTATACAATTATCTTAATCTGAAGACTAAGTCTCAGTTAGATCAGATTTGTAAAAAAATGCTTAATATATGGTATTTACAAATTATATAAATAAATCCTTGATTACCCAAAAATGTTAATCATTCTAAACAATAAGAAAAGTTACCTTGCTGGGTGCATTAGAAATGTTGATTTATTGGTAACATCCCAGTTTGCAGTATAAAATATTTGTTCTAATACCTTAAAAAAGGAGGCCATAGAAAGAAATATGAAAAGTGTGGGGAAAAAGTAAAAAAACAAACAAATATATTTATATAGATAATATAAATACTTGATATTTGAAGTTTCAAAATTTCTTCTGCAATGGTTTCCAGAAGACTTTAGAAATGTATAGTATTTCTTCTAGTGAAAAAAATCATTTTAAGAAAGAACAGTATTACTGAAACAAATCCCATTGCATTGCTCATATAGCTCAGAGGAGACCATTGTTTTCTTGGAAAAAAACCTTAGAAGATAAGACAGAAAATAGCATGTCAGTGGCCAGCCACAAGCCTTGTACAACATTTAACTTAAAGGCAGCACTTCCGTAATTCACAGACTATACACATCCTTTACTTAAACAGCCATTGAGATGAACAAAAATACAGGGGAGAAGGGAGCAGGAAATGGATTGTTTTCCAATTACCTATGCGCAAATTAATGCTTTCTCCTTTTCTTTTCTTTTCTTTTTCCTTTACCATCAATATTAACAAAATCACCATTAACAACCATACCTACATATTCCATCTAACAAAGTATATACTGAACAATCAGTACTGCATGTGATGAATGTACAATTAAATGGGAGATAGTAAAAAAAAAATCACTGAAACCCCCATACAGACATACAGAAATATAAAGCCATGTAGATTTTCAAAGTGCCATGAATAAAATGTTCAGGTAACTTCTTTTTTCTCACAGATACAGTTTGAACTACATAAAAAGACGTTAGGAGTTACTGGAGTCTTCACTTGGATTCTGAGTCTCCCCTCTAGCTGCTTTGGTGAGAATATCCATCCATTTTGTTTGCAACTCTTCATCATCGGCACTGAAATACAAAGTCTGTTGAGACTGACAGAGTTTGAAAACATACTTGGATTCGAACTTCTCTCCAGAATGTGGGAAATCCACTTCATATCCTGGTAAAGGTATGCTGCGTGGGACACGTCCATCCTAAACAAACACAGAAAGAGGTGAAAGGCAGTCATGAGAACTCAACAAAAACATCTTAAAGTAAATGCACATCAACATGAAATTACAGAATAATAATTCATGTGGGAGACTGTCCCGAGTTTTTTTGTACTGAGTTGTACTAGTACTGGGTTTCCTCAGTACTGTGTTGAGGAAAAAAACAGATTAAAAAAGATTTAGATGAATAAGTTGACACACATAGAGCAAGCTTGTTTTCTGCCACTCCAGAGACTAGAACAAAATTAATGGATTCAAGAAAAGAGAATCCAGCTAAAATTTGGAAGACCACCTTTACTGAGAGAGCTGACTGCTTCAGAGGGTAGTAGAGTCTGCTTCTTTGGAGGTCTTTAAACAGAGATTGGATGGGCATCTTTCAGGAGTGCTTTTGTTCCTGCATAGCAGGAGCTTGGACTGGATGACCCGTGAATCTCTTGTAACTCTTTATGATTTGATAGACACATAGCTGATAGATAGATAGATAGATAGACAGACAGACACATGTATGTGTACATATTAGGCCTGGGTAACAACGGAAAAATTTGTTTCTAAAATCGATTCGTTTTTGGGGGGGTTTTGTGTTTCGATTTTTAAAAGAATTCCGAAATTTTTCTTTTAAAAAGTTCGATATTTACGAAATTTTGTAAATTACAAAACAATACGAAACAATAACAAATCGATTCGTTAATGGCGGACACGATTGCGCAATACGCTAAAAAACCCTCCAAATGGGACAGGGGGGACTTCTGAAGCTTCCCTCTCCCTCTGTTGTTGACTGTTGGTGTGATATTTATAATTTTTTTCACTGATTAAACAAACAACAACTATAAAACTTGCCCCAGACATGCGGAAATAATAACGAAACGATTTCAAAACGATAACGAAACGAATACAAAACGAATCCGAAACAATTACGAAACGAATTTAAAAATTCGTTTCATTTTTAAGTTGCTCCTGAATGGTTCGTTATCGCTTCGTTATAAAAAAAATAACGAATTTTTAACGAATTACGAAATTACGAAACGAAACCGCCCAGCCCTAGTACATATCATTGATGCATTTAACTCATAATTATTCTGTTCCCATGGCTTAGGCCAGGATGCTTCTGCATCAAAGGAGTTCTGGTGCATAGAACTGTCTTAAGCAGCAACTCTGGTGAATCTTACCTTACACTAGGGAACACAAAGCCTGACAACCTCGGTCCATATGTAGCCCTCATCTTCTGCCCTATACACTCCCAAAGTTAGTGGCATTCTACCTATTTCCTCTATAGCCTCAATTCAAAGAAACAGTTTTAAGAAATAGAACACAAAGAGAAACAATCATCAGGGTGCCTGACTTATTTAGTATGTCCAATGTGTTTCAAGAAAGAACAAAAAAAATTATACCTGGGTACTCCCCAATGCCTGACCAGGTCACCATTTCTATCTCAGCATATGTGATTGATCTAGGTTCATGTCTAACATTATAGGCTCCTAACTCACACCACCCACCAATGAACCTATCTTTCTGTGATGGTTGGATTGTATGCTCCTGAGAATGGAGACTGTAGTCAAGAAATCCAAAAATTACTAGGACTTGGAAGGACAGCTAAGAAGGAACTAGACATGACCCTGAAGTGTAAAGATACATCCTCGAGTACTAAAGTTGGGATTTTCCATGTCACTGTAATTACACTTTCCATGTATAGCTGTGAAAGCTGGGCTGTAAAGAAAGCTGATTAGAAGATAGGCTTTTTAAAAATATAGTGGTGGAGAAGAGTTTTATAGATACTGCGTTTTGCTAGAAATACCAAAAAATGGGTCTTAGAGCAAATCAAGTCTGCACTCTTCCTAGAAGCCAAGATGAGTAAATTGAGGTTTGGATATATCATAAAAAGACGTGACTCAGAAGAAAAGATAATCATGTTTGATAAAGTAGAAGGCAGTAATAAAAGAGGAAGACTGCATTACAGATAGATAGACTCAATGAAAAAAGCCACAGCGCAGAGTCTGCAAGACCTGAGCAGAGCTGCCGATAATCAGGGGGACCTGGAAGTCACTCATTCTTGAAGCCATCATAAATTCAATTCACACAGCCATCGACTGCTGGATTAACAAATTATTTCCATAGCTTTGGCATTGAACAGGACAGCTCACTGTGTTGGGAAGATAGAGTATTATTTTCTGTAAGTGGATGTCATTTGGTTTTATTCTATGCTAGCAAAGTATACAAATTTGGATTTTTTTTCCCTTTTGGGTTTGGATCTTTAAGGATTAGGAAGACAGGGAGATCTACAATTACTGCTACATAGATGATACCCAGTAGAGACTATGATTTGGCCCAAAACAAATAAGAACTATGAGGCCCGGACTTCCTGCCTTCAGTGTTAATAGCTCCTACTAATCCCATATACATACTCTGCTAGCATTTGGCACAAGGCTAGGTCTCCAGGAAAGTGGGGGTATTTGAATAGCCAAAAGCATTAATAATGCTGGCCTGCTGTGACACTTTAAAGGTTGACATATTTATTGTACTATGGCAATTAGTGGGCTATACCCATGAAAGCTTATGTTATTATACATCTGTTAGCATTTAATGGGCACATGACTCTTTCTTGCTGTTTCGTTAAGTGTACTGCAAAAACATTCACTTTTATAATTGTACATTTATTTATAAGTGAAGTACTCTGCAGTTTCCCCATAAAACCATGTGGGATTTCATAAATCAGTGGGGAAAAAACTATCACTCATTTGGCACCACGGGAGAGGCATACACAGAATTGAAATAAGGTGTTACAAATCTTTTGTGACTCCTTTCTTGTAATACTAATTATAACTTCTCATAATTCTGCCTCCCTACTGTTATCCTGTAGTATTTGGAACTACAGAAAAGGAGTACAAAATAATTTTTCCATATATAAGGATTTTCATTACAAATTGTTTAGGAAAGCAATTTTCTGCACATCCTGTCTGTCAACACACTGCTACTCTTTAACATTCCAGTTAGGTAGCAAGGAAAGACCTAATGACCTTCTTTAAGAAAGAAAGACTTTCTTCTTAAAGAAACTAGTATATGGTGGTTCCCATGCTACTGAACACAGCAAGGTCACTCTGTTGTCAAAAGCAAGGCAAATCCTTTAAGCCCAGTGTTTCCCCATCTTCTGATATCAGACTTATCCCTGCAATTAAATGGGGAAGTAAACTGTGCTCTCACAAAAGATTTAAGAGTTACTATCCTTGGCAGAGTCCATCTCACTTCTTTCGGTTTCTGTTTGAGTCACTGATATGGCAATGTCACCTGATTAGAAGGAAGGCTGTTCAGAGCATACAAGGCATACTGGACAGTAAATTCTCAGACATTTCTGACAACAGAAAATTCATAAGGAAACATGAATGCAAGAGGGTGATTGAAGGATGAAAACTTAATATCAATGCATCATACAGAGATGTCACAGGCATTCTTTCAACTCAGGCCGGTGTGTCTTCAGGTCCATAAACCTGCCATGAAAGAGAAGCAATTCTCTCACCTTACACTTGCAACCCAAGCTAGTTTTGCGGATTATAATTTGTGCCTATTTCTTAGTATGGCATGTTTATGTTATACATCTAAGTACTCACTTATTTACATTACTGCTGTATAACATGAAAATATTTTTACCTGACTGCCTCCTTGTAGATATAATATGAGAGGTTCAGCCTTCGGAATGGTGACCCACACTTTACACCAGGTTTTTGCTTTCTCTTGGAAGAGGAGGTAGCCGCTGAAAATACTGTTTTCTGCTCCCAAAATGGTTTGCTTCTATTAAAAATAAAAAGCCAGTGTCAACTCACACTCTTAGGCTGAAGCCATTTACAGTTGATTATACACCTTCACAGCTTATGTTCAAATATTTGCTCATGCATAGTGAGTGTGCACAGATGTACAATTACCAAGGCATCAATCTTTAAATATACAGGGGTTTAGTCATCACTGGAGATAACCAGGACTAAAAGAAGCAGATGTAGGTGCTGAACTCCTGTTCTCAAAGAGTGTTAAGCTAAAGATTCCACTTCCACAGCAGAAGTTGAGAATAGCAATTAAGATGACACACTTACTTTCATGCTTAAAGTAGGTTGGCGGAGATTGAAAATTAATGAGGAAGCTGGCTCAGCACAAGTGAGAGGAGCCAAATACAGTGCAGCTGCAAGGATAAATGGAAACTCCAGGTGTTGGCAGTTGGGTGTATGTGCATGCATGCAGCTGGGAGAAATACGATCTCCCAGACCCATCTCCAATCAGAATAGCCCATTGCATATGTGTTTGGAAGAAAATCCCATTGTTTTCTATGGGACCACCAAGCAAGGGCACATACTGGACAGCAGTAAAGTACAATGCCACAGAGATCATGTCTGAAATGTTGACATTTTCATCAATGAATTCTTAATAAATATGTGAAGGCATACAAAAGCTAACATCCTCCAGTTCAGTTGCTATAAATTTTTCGGGCTGTATGGCCATGTTTCAGAAGCATTGTCTCCTGACATTTTGCCTGAATCTATGGCAGGCATCCTCAGAGGTTGTGAGATCTGAGGACGCCTGCCATAGATGCAGATGAAACATCAGGAGAGAATGCTTCAGGAACATGGCAATACAGCCCAAAAAAATTACAGCAACCCAGTGATTCCAGCCATGAAAGCTTTCGACAATACATTCTCCAGTTCTCTTTGGGGGCATCCACATTGCACAATCATAAGAGATTGATGATACTTTAAATGCCATGCTCCTGGTCCCAAATCCTGAGATTTGTTATCCGGTGAGGTACTGAGAAATCTCAACTGCATTCACTTGAACTTGGAGCAACCTGGAATAAAATTCTAGGATTTCAGATGATGTAGCCATGAAAATTAAAGTGGAATCATTGTGCTATAATTATGTAGTGTGGATAAAACCTTTAACTTCATATGGTTTTAATATGATTTTTGTAAGAAAATCTCATGACTGAGATTATTTATTTTATTTATTTACTTTGCTTCTATACCGCAGTTCTCAGCCCGAAGGCGACTCACCGCGGTTCACAACACACAAAAACAGCAAAAATTCAATGCATCAATATAAAAACAGTTAACGACCTAATCTAATACACAGTTAATACACAACTAATATAATAACCATTCACTAGCATCTCATCACTAAAAACACGATCCAGATTCGTCATCCATTGTTTCATTCCTATGTCATCACCGATCATTGTACTAATTATTCGAACGCCTGCGCAAATAACCAGGTCTTTACTTTTTTGCGGAATACCATTAGAGATGGTGCCAATCTAATGTCTGAAGGAAGGGCATTCCACAGCCGGGGAGCCACCACCGAGAAGGCCCTATCTCTCGTCCCCGCCAGCCGAGCTTGTGAGGCTGGCGGGATCGAGAGCAGGGCCTCCCCGGAAGATCTCAAAGTTCTGGTGGGTTCATAGGCTGAGATGCGGTCGGATAGGTAGCTTGGGCCGGAACCGTTTAGGGCTTTAAAGGTCAACGCCAGCACTTTGAATTGAGCCCGGTAGCAAATCGGTAGCCAGTGGAGTTGGCGCAACAGGGGGGTTGTATGCTCCCTGCGCTCCGCTCCTGTTAAAATCATGGCTGCCGAGCATTGGACTAGTTTGAGCTTCCGAGCCATCTTCAAGGCAACCCCACGTAGAGAGCGTTGCAGTAGTCTAAGCGGGATGTAACCAGAGCGTGGACTACCGTGGCCAAGTCAGACTTCCCAAGGTACGGGGGCAGCTGGCGCACAAGTTTTAGCTGTGCAAATGCTCCCCTGGTCACCGCCGAAACCTGGGGTTCCAGGCTCAGCGATGAGTCCAGGATCACACCCAAGCTGCGAACCTGTGTCTTCAGGGGGAGTGCGCCCCCATCCAACACAGGCTGTAACCCTATACCCTGTTCGGCCTTGCGACTGACCAGGAGTACCTCTGTCTTGTCTGGATTCAATTTCAATTTGTTCGCCCTCATCCAGACCATTACAGCGGCCAGGCACCGGTTCAGGACCTCGACAGCCTCCTTAGTAGCAGGTGGAAAGGAGTGACAGAGTTGGACATCATCTGCGTACAGATGGCACCGTACCCCGAAACTCCGGATGATCTCTCCCAGCGGCTTCATGTAGATGCCATTAGTTCCAGGAGGTATTTTGCCTGAACAGTTCAAATCAGTTCAGGTTGCAACATCAAATAAGAACAGTTGGTGCTTAAACTTACAACACCAAGATGAACTGCATGATTTATTTTTCAAGTGTGTAGGCTGCAATTTATTCTATCTGTGACTGCGCTTGAACACACCATGTCTGAAAATATACCCTTACATGTAAGAGATATACAACTGAACCAAAACAGAAGTATCAGTGTTCTGAGTAAAGAGTAAAGATTTCAATTCTTTTTTTCCAGGAAGTAGAAATGTTCTTCTTCAATACATAATAAAAAAGAAAGGTGAGGCAAGTGCAAATTAGATATGCCATTCTTTAAGAACCATGTTACAAAAATGAGGAAGAACATTTATGAATGACAACACCACACCTATTAGAGTATGTTTTTGTATAACAAATTCCAGAAGTCTTCTTTCTGTATCTAATAAATAATAGGGGCTGGGGGAAGGGTGGTTGCCAAACCAAAAAAGCCACTAAGTTAATGAATTATGAATTGGGAGAAAACACTTGAACCTCTAATCCTAGAAGCATTTGCCAGCATAACATACAAAGATGCCAATCAATTGTCTCCTGAGGGGAAAAACAGACCGGATCAGCTATATGTATTTTTGGCATTTCCTTTGTGAATTTCAAAGACTTAACGCAGAGATAAGCATCTAACCCTATTAAAGAGAAATATTCCTCTTTCTTGATGCCAAGGGGGCTTACTTCACACAGCAGGTCACACTTCAGCAGCTTTTAAGCATTTGCATGGCTTTTAGTATTACACAAAACCTGGATTTGGGGACAAATGTTTTCCCAGTACTGCATTATAGTTCTGCTACAGTAGCTTTCTAGAAGGGTAAGAAAACTTATTAATGCCGTTTGGTGGATCATGCAGTCCCTGTAACTTTTGTTCTTGAAATCACCAGGCCTTATGTTAATGGGTGCCTCACTTTGCTAAGACATCCAAGAGAAACGATGGAAAGTCTGGTGCTGTGAAAGCTATTGAAAATCCTAACAGCAGAATTTGAGACAGGGCTAAACAAACAGCAGTCAAGATAAGAATTGGTTAGAGAAGCAGTTTGGGACATGACTAGATGTAAAATTTGGCCACAGATTTAATTTTGGAGAAAAGAATATATTTATTTATTTATTTATTTATTTATTTACTTCATTTGTTGACCGCCGCTCTCAGCCCTGGGGCGACTCGCGGCGGTGTACAACATGTAAAAAACCATCTACAAAACATACAATATAACAACAATCGAATTACACATTAATCTAAATTACACTAATAGATCCGCGCCATCACAACATAGAGTCATAGCCAGTCTCATAATCCATAGTCCGTTCCAAATATCACAACCAAATTCGTGTGGGTCTCAATTAAATGCCTTGTCGAATAGCCAGGTTTTTAGGCTCTTACGAAAAGCCATGAGGGAGGGCACCTGTCTGATGTCAACAGGGAGGGCGTTCCACAGCCGGGGGGCCACCACTGAGAAGGCCCTCTCTCTCGTCCCCGCCAGACGTGCCTGTGAGGCGGGCGGGATCGAGAGAAGGGCCTCCCCGGATGATCTCAAGGCCCTCGTGGGCTCATAGGCCGAGATGCGGTCCGAAAGGTATTTTGGGCCGGAACCGTTTAGGGCTTTGTAGGATAACACCAGCACCTTGAATTGGGCCCGGTAGCAGATCGGCAGCCAGTGGAGCTGGGACAACAAGGGCGTTGTGTGCTCCCTGCGTCCCGCTCCCGTTAGTAACATGGCTGCCGCGCGCTGGACTAGCTGAAGCTTCCGGGCCGTCTTCAAGGGCAGCCCCACGTAGAGAGCGTTGCAGTAGTCAAGGCGGGATGTGACCAGAGCGTGTACCACCGTGGCCAAGTCAGACTTCCCAAGATACGGGCGCAGCTGGCGCACGAGCCGAAGCTGTGCAAATGCTGCCCTGGTCACCCCTGAAACCTGGGGATCCAGGCTCAGAGATGAATCCAGGGTCCATTTATTTATATGCAAATAAATTACATGAATTGTGTGTCAGCCCGATCAAATTCTGAAATCAGACTGATGAATCTTTTCCTTGCATCCTGTTGCTACAGATTCAAAGTTCCCTCTGATATTCCTCTGGTGTATTCCTCTTTGTTGTTCCCACAGTGCTAACAGGGAGGCTAAGATCGTCCGGGGAGGCCCTGCTATCGGTCCCACCATCCTCACAAGAGTGACCAGTGGGGATGAGGGACAGGCCTTCTCAGTGGTGGCTCCTCAGTTGTGGAACTCCCTCCACAATTACATCAAGTCAACCCCCTTCCCTCCTGTCCTTTCAGAAAAAAATACTTAAAACATGGTTATGGGACCAAGCATTCGAACATTAGATGCAGCAACTAGAATGAGAGTGATTTTATGTGACCGCAATGGACTGACTTTGGACTATGATTCTGAACAGGTGGAACTTTTAAATACATGTTTTAATAATTGATTTTTACTGTTGTTTTAACTGTAACTGTTTATTTATAATTGGTGTGTTGGCATTGAATGGTTGCCTGTTATGAAGCCGCCCTGGATCCTCCTTTGGGGGTGAGAAGGAAAGGGTACAAATGTGTGAAATAAATAAATAAATAAACAATGGAGAAATAAAGGCAGTGGAAGTTTCTGCTCCTAGAACAGCATGGCCTCAGAGAGTTAGCCTCTTTCTATGGCCATAGACCTCCCTCTCAGTTTCCACAGGACCGCAGGATAAATTTTGAAATACTGCAGGGCAAGAGTTTTAACAAGGAAAATCATGTTTCTGCTGCAGCAGCTAGCCATTTCAGAATTGATTAACAAGATAAGTGTACCTCAGTGGCAATCTTTTTCTTTTGTTCTCCAGCACTTTCATTGCCTGAGATGCACGGCGTCACTGATGGCAGTTGAAAGCAATCTTTGCACACTCGGTTCTGGCGGCTGTTATCAGCAAGTGTTTTAAATTCAGAGCATTTTGCACAGATAACCTGGATTAAAACAAAAACAAAACCATTAAGTCATTACCAAAAACAAAATCCCCTTACAACTAGAATCACTTTGGTTTCCAGAAAATAATGATAGTGAGTGATAATGTTGAAAGGTTTCTAGGCCCAATGTCTAAGACATTATTGCTTCCCTGTACTTTCCCCACTGGCTCAGCATTGGGAAATTGATTTTGCTTCTCTATGCTATTTTATAAGACTATGCCTATAGAAAAATATGTGAGAGGGAGTGTAAAATCACAACTCTGTCGATTTGCACTTCTGTTCACTCTTCTAAAATGCTTTTCAGTTACAATGGATTAAATATTTATTAGATTTCCTGGAAGTTCATCCCAAAACAAATTGAAAAGAGCTCTGTTTATGAAAAGTTACTGACTTTCCTAACTATGATGTCTTCTTTGTAGCATTTTGAATCTTCTCCTCCTCACACTCTCACAATACACACAAAACACTTAACCAGCACATGTATAATTTAGTCATGCTGAACTTGATCCAATAAGTTCATCAACCTTTAGTCGCTGGATATATCAAAGAATAAATTGCTCGTGGCAATTTATTTTTTTCATGGCAAGAAACATTCAGAGAAGGCATATATTAAAAAGGATCTGCACCTATAAATTGATAGCTGAATAGCAAACTATTTTTTCTTTCTTCCTGACCTCACCCAGAAGGTGAAGGGCAGCGGCAGAAGAGGAAGCATCTCAGGGAGAGACTTCAGCTGTGGGTTTCTAAAGGTGTCTTTTAAAAAAATGTTTTCTGATTTTGCTATTTTGGGTTGAGTAACAGCATCCTGTGCTGAACACAGCTGTAAATGTGCATAAGCACCAAATAATCCTCTAAACACTTAATTGGATCACATATTGAAAAGTCATTAATTGATTAAACTGATTGAGTTTAAACAACAGTGGCTTTTCCAGTCCTGGATACAACCTTGACTCTAAGTCCAAATGTACTATTTGTGTTCAAGCTAAAAGATGGCTATAGCACACAAGAGAAAATAATGTCAGTCCAAGGGAGAGTCTTCAATCGTAAAGTTAACAATAAAGGAAGTGGGACAAGTTCACTATATCCCAATTGACCCTTGTAAGAAGAGGGGGAAAGAACTTTTCCAAAGCTTCTGATAAAAGAAAAGCTTTTTCTTTTATCAGAAGAATATCCAGAAGGCTTTTAAGCTAGTGCTATGAAAGAAATGAAAGGAAGACTTGGACATGACATCTAAACATAAAAATCTAACACATCAGCAAAATTTCACTTTCTTTTAAAAAACTGTTATGTAGCACTGGCTACCAAGCATAAAAAAGCTTACAGCCTTTGAACACTTCCTCGAGAATCGACTAAGAGAAACTGGTGGAGCTGCATTGCTCTATGCTGCTCCTAGTGCTGTTGCTGGTTGTTACAATTACTTATGAGACAGACCAATTAATCTGTATTTGAAGATCGGATTGAGGAAGGTCCTTAGTGCACTAAGTGCATGCCTTGCTTACAAAAAGTCCAAGATTCAATCTTTCTTGTGAGTTGTAAGCAAGCCATTCAAACAAATTTAGAGAATTCCTAACGAAAGACTTGCCTGTAGACTAAACATTCCTGAGTAAATGGAAGAAACGAGGCAGAAATAGCAGATATATACCCAGATTGGTAAAATTGACTACATTTAGCATGCTGGCTCATTGTATTTATTGCTTGAAGCATATGCGACCATCCCTTTACTTCCTTGAAGGTCAAGGTGCATAGTATCCAAGACCAGCCTTTTTTAAAGGTGTATGGAGTAGAAAACATCACTAGCCACTGTGTTGTCGAAGGCTTTCATGGCCAGAACCACTGGGTTGCTATGAGTTTTCTGGGCTGTATGGCCATGTTCTAGAAGCATTCTCTTCTGATGTTTCACCCACATCTATGGCAGGCATCCTCAGAGGTTGTGAGGTGTGTTGGAAACTAGGCAAGTGGGATTAATATATCTGTGGAACATCCGGGGGGGGAGAAAACACTGTCTGTTTGAGGCAAGTGTGAATGTTGGAATTGGTGATCTTGATTAGCATTGACCGCATAGGAAAGCTGATGAAGAAACACAACGTACAAATTATCTACAGACCAACTAAGGAAATCCAAGAAATGCTATGTTTAGCAAAGGACAAGAGGGATCCTCTCACTTCTGTAGGAGTCTACCGTATACCATGCAGCTGTGGACAAGTCTACACAGGGACCACCAAATGCAGCATTGCCCAAACACAAATCAAGGAATATGAAAGGCGCCGAAGACTAACCGGAGAAGTCAGCCATAGCAGAGAACTTGATGAATCAACCTGGATACAACATATTATTTGAGAACACAGAAATGCTGGACCATTCTAACAACCACCATGTCAGACTACACAGAGAAGTCATTGAAATCCACAAGCATGTGGACAATTTCAACAGAAAGGAGGAAACAATGAAAATGAACAATATCTGGCTAGCGATATTTAAAAACTCAAAAATCAGGACAAAAAATAAAGAACTACACTTAGAAAACAGGGGAAGTCCAGACAAGAAAAAATCAGGGCCAGCTAATACCTTCCAACAATTCCCCCAGGCAGCAAGCAGCTCAGCTTTGAAGCTGCAAGGCTATTCAATGCTAATCAAACTCATCAATTGCAGCATTCACATCTGCCTCAAACAGACAAGAGTTATTTCTCCCACCTTGGATATTCCACAGATAAATAAACCCCACTTGCCCAGTTTCCAGCAGGTCCCTCAACCTCTGAGGATGCCTGCCATAGATGTGAGTGAAATGTCAGGAGAGAATGCTTCTGGAATATGGCCATACAGCCTGGAAAAGTCAGAGCAACCCATCACTAACCACTCTCACTGAGAATAAAAATACATTGAAGTCTAACAATTTGCTGTCTTTTCAGTGTGTTCACATATTTGTGAATACGTTACATGGCACCAACCTGCAATTATTCAGAATAACATCAAGGAAGATTAACACATACAAGCTTTGTTTGATCCTGGGGAAATGCAGCTCATATGTCTTGGAAAACAACTCAAACAGCAGAATGCTGAATTGACAATGTTTCATTGAGCAATTAACTAAATGGTAGATGCAATAATGACAAACTTGTAATATGGAAACAAGAGAATGGTCATAAAAGTGGCTACAATCCAAAATGAGTGATACTAATGGGATTAGGAGAAATGTTTTCTTCAGGATAATGATCTGTTCTGCTGTAGATCATTGAACAGAATGAAATACTTCCTTCTGCTCAAAATCACTTGAGTATTGATGTCTTTCATTAAATAGATCATGAAGAAGTAAGATGAAAAATCATCTTTGTGAAAATTGAAGGATGCATTTTTCATATTTGACTGAAGTGCTTATCTGGAAAGGGTTAAAAAAAAAGGAGGGAAGTCAATCATCCTTACAGAAAATCCTACAGTGGAACTGATTGAAATTGGCAAGGATTACAAACTATGGCTACATGGAGCCTGAGGATACTATGGGCCAGGCCCGTAGCCAGGATTTCAATTCGGGGGGGGGGGGGGGGGGGGGGGGGCGGGGGGGGGGAGTCTGGGTGAAAGAGGGTCTACCCTAGCAAACCTTTTGTATCGTTACCCCAATACCCCCATGCATATGGGATATATTGAGTATGGTGATCAGATCATGATATGAATAAACATAACAGTTTAAATAATGCACCAGTAAGGCCTTTTCGCGAACCACCATGAGAATTTGGGGGGGGGGCTGGAGCATGTAGCCCCCCCCCCCCCCCCCCCGGCTACATGCCTGCTATGGGCAAAAGTGGAAAATGTGTCAGGTCTCCCTTTTTTCAGCTCATCAATAAGTCTGTCTAAGTATGCTATGTTTTATTGTAATTGTGTATTTGGTTTAATTGACTGTTTTGCTTTTTGTCTTGTGGACATTTTGTCTCATATGTAAGTTGCCCTGAGTCCTTTTGGGGAGATGGTGGAGGAGTATAAGAATAAAGGTGTTGTTGTTGTTGTTGTTGTGTCTTAGCCATCCTTTGTAACCTGATAAGTGGGCACAAGATGGAAAGGTCTGTGATACATTCTAACTGAAGTTACAATGTTATTGTGTTTTTCCTGCATGGCACGGGGTTGGACTAGATGGACCATGTGGTCTCTTCCAACTCTATTATTTTATTGTTCTTTTGGGCTACAAGAAAATTTGCATTCTTTGTAAAGACCTGTTTTGTCAAACTGTTCATAAGACTGCTATACTACTTCTCAACAATGATGAAGACACAGAAAAAAAGGAAAGGGGCATGAAACCAGACAATTGTTGTGAAATGTTTCCTGGATTCACGTTCTGGTAATTGCTTGCACACATGCAAGCTTTTTTTTTTTTTTTTTTTTTTTTGTGGCTCTTACTGCACCACCCTTTTTAACTCAATCATTTGAAGTTGTTTTCTTTGAATTGTTCTTTATTTGTATTGTTGAAGGCTTTCATGGCTGGAATCATGGGGTTGCTGTAAGGTTTTTGGACTGTATGGCCATGTTCAAGAAGCATTACCTCCTGACATTTTGCCTACATCTATAGCTGGCATCTTCAGAGGTTGTGGGGTCTGACCCCACAACCTGTTGGAATGCCTGCCATAGATGAAGTGAAATGTCAGACGAGAACGCTTCTGGAACATGGCCCTACAGCCTGAAAAACTTACCGCAACCCTGTTCTTTATTTACTAAAATCATAAAAATATCCTAGCCTGCAAAAGTGTCTGTAAATTTCTGCTTCTTGGCAGGGGGTTGGACTGGATGGGCCATAAGGTCTCTCCCCACTCTATGATTCTATGAAATCCAGCTAGAGTAATCCATCAACCATTCAACTGATACTGAATTATTTAATGCTGTTAGAATAATACATACAAAATTATTCCACTCATGTTAGATATGGCAGGTTTACTGAGGGAGTATAGCAAAATCAAGTACATTTTAGAAATATGACTGTTATCTAATGTGAGTATCCTGTCCCACTGGTTCTTTTAATTTTGTTTGGCAAGGAAAGTAATACAGATGTGCCTTCAGTATCTGTCAGGATTGGGATACAGGATCCCCTGTGATACCTGTGGATACCAACATCTATGGATGCTCAAGTCCTATTATATGCAGTGGTATTCCTTATACAAAAGGCAAATTAAGCCTTGCCTTTTGAAACCTTGAATGGTTGGATACAGAATCTACTGATATGTAAACATATTTCACTTCCCTAATTACAATAATCTAAATATGCTGTTATCTTAATCTCCACAAACTGTTTTTTTTCTTTTTACATCTGAAGTACTAGTTTATATCATATGGGATATGCAATCCAGTTCTTTAAAGAGTCTCAACCATGTATATGCATTTAAAAGTGAAGAAAATATTCCTTTTTCATATTTCATATGAGATATTTTTCCAGATTCATCTAGATTATTTTCCCTTTTTATCTCAATTTTCGCACCAGTAAGGAACAAGACATAACGGGCAAAAGTAAATATATTTGTAGGTATCTTTCTTCTCCTCCTCTTCCTCCTACCTCTCTTCTCTTCCTCTTCTTCCTTCCTTTTTATAAAAGACCTGTCAGAAATTTTAATTAAGGGTGGTAAAATAAATCAAAATTAAATTAAAAGGCAAAATCCCTTCCTTGGCAGAATATTATTTTAGAGCCTTGCTTCTTAATCTGTGGGGCCTGACCCTTTAGTTCAATTTTGGTTTCAACAGTAAAATGGCAACAGTAAAAGGTTTCTGTAACAACATTCATTTACACAAATCTGTTAGCAACAACATGCAGTCTCTGCAGAAAATGCTTCAACTGTACTCTACAAAAAGGAAAGTCAGCCTGTTTAGCAAGTCTTGGGGATGCTGATTTATTACCAGTAAATGTTTGATTTTCATATCTATTTCATACCCGAGGTCACATAAAAATTATCAGGTGGAAAGGGGTCATAGATGGGAAAAGTTTAAAAAGCCCTGTTTTAGAGAAAACAAAGCTTGCTTCGTACAACCAACAATTTATCACAAATTATTTGCTTTTCCTGATACTTACCATTCCACATTGCTTGCAATGGTGCCGTCTTTTTGTAATAGAATTAAAACTTTCCCCACAACTTTTGCAAGCATGCTTTTCCTTGTCTCTCTTCAATTTAGAAGATTTTCTACAGGAGTCAGGCTGGAATGACAAATAAAATGACAATGAAATTAAACAAGGTTACTGTAAGGAAGACTTAAAAAGGAAGGCTTGTATATCTGAGGCAGAGATTTAACTGATGCAAATAGTAAAGCTGCATTAGGAGTGACAGATATATCTTGACCCAAGCGCTGCCTGTAATCTGTGGCTGATAAAACTTTCATAGTCAAATGATCCCTGACATTCAGAAGGGATGCTAGACCAGCTATTAAAACAACCTACAACACTAGTTGGATTTGCAAAAACACTACTATAGATTTTCTTAAGTGTCTGTTTTACATGGTGAAGGTCTCCCTACCCTTCCTGATACGTGAGCTGCCTTCTTCCTCAGAATACACTTCCTGCTGTGTTAGCAGGATGTGGAAAACCTTGCAAATCCTTCAGCATCTCTAACTGGAGTTAGCTTTCTCTGGAGGAAGCACTTGAGACAAACGTACTCAAGTGTACGTCAAGTGTATGGTGTAAGGCTCTCCAGGGAGGCACAGAAAGTTGTGGTGGAGACCACAAACACCTTCCTGGCCTTTCGGTATCCTTACTGCATTTATCTTAGTGAGCTATTCTTTAGCAGACTCAAATTCTCATGAGTGCCTTCAAGCTCCCTGTCAACGTATGGTGACACCAGGCATGTAGCCGGGGGGGGGGGGGGGGGGGCTTGGGGGCTTCAGGGCCCCCCCCCCCCGAAATTCTCATGGTGGTTCACGAAAAAACCTTACTGGTGCATTATTTAAACTGTTATGTTTATTCATATCATGATCTGATCACATACTCAATATATCCCATATGCATGGGGTATTGGGGTAATGATACAAAAGGTTTGCTAGGTAGACCCTCTTTCACTCAGCCCCCCCCCCAAACAAACTCAGCCCCCCCCCCCCCCCGAATCGAATCCTGACTACAGGCCTGGGTGACACCATACATTTCACATTTTTTTTCTGGAACACTGAGATTATTTTGTTACTGCCTTCCTCTGAAATATACTTACAGAATTTGGTACTCATTGGTGGTCTCTCATTAAGTACTAACCAGGGTTAACACTGCTAAGCGTATAGGATCAATCAGGATCTGGAGCCTTTAAGGCATTTAGGTCCTGCACTTAAACTATAGCATGTCCTATTAACAGAGTTTGCTTCAGGAACAGTTAAGTTTCAATGGGGACCACAAATAATTTCCTAGCCTTTCAGCATCTTTATCGCAATAATCTTAGTGAGGTTTAGTGGAATATAAATTACAGAGACCTGAAAAGCAAGATATTTGCCTTTTTCGAGTCCAGATATGCCTTATAGATTTGAAAAGGCTTCTCTTCTCTCAATATAGATCATGAACCTAGAGACTGTTTTACTATGGCTCCTGGGTTATAATGAAGCATGCAGTTATTATAGCAAATAATCATTACAGATACCTGCTAATGACATTCATTCAGATTGTGTTGAAGCTGTAAAAACTATTTGCATTCCAAACAAGCATTTTTGGAGCATACAGAGTAACATCTTACCACCAATGTGTATCCTTGCTCTCTCTGCATTAAAGATTGAAGGTTATGAAACATGATTCTGTTAATTTCTCATTTTCCCATCTTAAGTTCCTACTACACGGTTTCTATTATAATCAATAACCCTTTAACAGTATGCACAATCATCTGCATATATTTTGTATAAATATACCAAGATATGTGCATTTTTATACAGGCTGAGCATCCCTCATTCAGAAATCTGAAATCCAAGGCCTTAAGTAAAATTACTGTCAACACAGACTACATCCAACCCTATATAACTAATGCAGTCTGACACCACTTACACTGCCATGGCTCAAAGCTATGGAATCCTGGGATTTGTAGTTTGGCGAGACACCAGCTCTCTTTGGAAAGAAGGCTAAGACCTTGCAAATCTATAACTTCAGGATTCTATATACAGTTAAAGTGGTGTCAAACTGAAATAATTCTACAGTACAGATGCATCCATAGCTTTTTACGTTCCATTAATGGCAAAAGGCAGAGGCAAAATCTAGCATACACAAACATATTTAAAGGCACATTTTCCCCCTTTAAAAAAGTTTTTCAAAATTGGGGAAATGAGTTTAAGAATAGATCCTTTATAACACAAACTCTATAAAGCTGTATTTTTTTAAAAAAAATCAGAAGGGAGAGACTTCTATAAGAACTGACATTAAAAAAACATATACTTGATAATTTTCACAGCAAGAGCTGTTGAGCTACAATGATCAATGGAAGTTTCCTGTGAGATTTATGTATCTTCTCCTCTTGTTCAGCAGGGCAGGTGACTGAGTCCTAAAAAATGATTGAACATCCAGACAGGCTGCCAGGCAACAACTTACTGAAGTGCTGTGATAGTTTGTGGAATTGTTGTAGCAACTCTGGGCCAGGAAGCAAGGTGCTTACGGTTCCTATGAGTAGCCACCAATGACACGGCTAGCTGAAGGACATTTCCAGTGGGTCACTAACAATGGAATCATGCCATTTTCCAGCATTAGGTTTGCACAACACAGAATTATGTAATCATATTCTAAAATGAACTGGAGGTCTGATGGGTGAAGAGTTTTAGCAACACAATCTCTTGCCTCCATAACCATTAGGAAATTAGCCTGGAAGCTATAAATGGCAGGTAATATGGCACATTACTTAATTCCAGTAGGGGTCTTTGGAGCATCCTTTGCATGCATATTTGTATTTGAACAGAGTGCTTGTATTGCTGCTATTTTCAAGGTGAGTTAAAATGTAAATAAAAGCATATTACCACCACTGCAGGAAAGCAACAATAATGCAAGATATGGTCTGTGTACACCATGAACATTTCACTTTTAATGCTAAAATCAAGAGGAAGGACACTTCAGAAGTATCAATGGACAGGATTTCCATGGAAGGAGTGATATTAAGGTAAAGGTAAAGGTTTCCACTTGACATTAAGTCTAGTCATGTCCTGCTCTGGGAGGTTGTGCTCATCTCCCTTTCTGAGCCAAAGAGCCGACATTGTCCATAAATGCCTCCAAGGTCATGACTGTTACCTTCCCACCGAAGCAGTACCTATTGATCTACTCACATTTTCATGTTTTTGAACTGCTAGGTTGGCAAAAGCTGGGCTAACAGCAGAAGGTAACCCAGCTCCCTGGATTTGAACCACCAACCTTTTGGTCAGCAAGTTTAGCAGCTCAGCAGTTTAATCCACTGCGCCACCAGAGGCTCCTAGAGTGATATTAGTGCTTTGGAAATGCTGTTGCACTAGCAGTGCAACTGCATTGTTAACCTCAAGCACTCCAGAACCAAATTATCATCTAAACATAGCACTCAGGGATGACAACTGTGAAAAACCTGAGATCATCTTCTTGCAGTGATGTCACTATTTTTTTAAAGAGGGGTAAAGGGTAACATGACTATGCAACATCTTACAGGGGTTTTTTTTAACCAGTTCTGACTGTAGGTATCAGCATCACCTTAAACAAAGCACTCTTCCTTCTGTTTCTCAAAGCTTACTGCAAAGTATATGTGCAACCTCTAGGGAAATGTACTCCCCCTTCCCTTCAAAAATACCACTTTGTTCATATGAAGATGGACAGATTTAATCAACCGATCAGTTCCTAAGCTGAAACTCATATGATTGACTGGGTACAATTTTTTTCTTCAGATGACAGCCCTAATTGTAAAGAACAGTAAAAATGCCACATGAAGCAGTTATGATTATAGCAGTGGGTTCTTTTTCCATGTGAGAACTAATATCCAAACAAATTAATGTTTGAACCAGCTCTACATCTCTGGTTTCTCAATGAAAGACATGTAGAACAGTTTGGACACAAATCATAAGAAGAACGGGGGCTTGTTATTTGCTGTAAATATGCTGACAACAATAATTAGGAAAGAAGTATTATGCATTACTCATCTATGAGAAATAAAATGTCTCTTTCAATGATTTGCAGTAGAAAAATGAAGAAATAGATAAAGTGCCTGAAAATGTTTTACCCTTGAACAATGGTAAAAAGGCAGTTTTCATGAATAAAACTCAGACAGAAAGTAAGCTATCCTGTATGGCTGGGGTTGAAATTGATTTCTCTCCCCCCCCCCCTCCTTCAGATAAAGCATTTTAACATTCACTTTAATGAGCATTAATTTCACCATTCCTTACCCCTCCAGATGTGCTGCTGCCATCTGTCCCTGGCATAGACTCCACAGAGCTTGTGCTTGCTATCTGGTGGAGAGAAAAACACAAGGAAGTGTTTCAGTACTGGGATTATATTCAAGATTTCTGGTATCAGTTCCAGGAAGAGGGGGTTTTCAAATGATGAACACACACACAAAAATGATTCTAACAAAAAAAATGCTCCAATCCCACTGATTCTGCCAAAATTGGGAATCTCATTGCTTAGTCCAGCAACAATACAGAAGATAATGTATTTTAAATGAATTTGAAAGTATTGTATATAAGCAAAATCTAGAAAGCTAGAAATGTACACTACATATCAAAAAAGAAAAACTGTGAAAGTTTACATCAATTGCAGAGATGGTAAAAAAAACACTATAGTAAAGAAATAGTGATCATTAAACACTTACTGATGAGTCTGGAAGATGCTCATCTTCTTGAGAAAAAGAGTTGTTAAAAGCCCTAAATGTTTCACTGTTCTGTTTATGTTTTTCAATCGTTGCCTGAATAACCTAGAACAAACGTAAAAGAAAAAAGTTAATAACAAGAAAGTGCAAACTATAGGAAAACCTTGCTTTAAAAAGTTTGAAATCTTTATTGGTTATATGTAAGTAATTTGTAACATTGTTACAATTGCAAATATGCAACAATATATTATTATTTTTATTATTATTACTTCATATAACACATTTTGTTGATTACATTTTATATTTTACAGTTCAACATACCTATTACTTATACCTACCCATTTTCCACCTTCCTCTTCCTCCCAAACCACTCCCTCTGGGAACAGATGTAATTCTGTTCATTGGTTTATATTATTTGTTTGATCATGAAGATTTTTTGGTTCAGATCCTTATATTTCCCTTTCCCTTTTGCTCTGACTATAATCTCTTTCCATTTTAATTTCTAGTTCTCCTTTGAATGACAATTCATATATTTTGTTCTCCTTTCAGATATAAAGTCTTGGAGCATATACTCTGATAAATATTCAAGCCATTTTTAAAATTCCAGTTTCCCTTCATCTTTCCATCTTACGGCAGTTGTTGCTTGGGTGATTGCTATCCATTATTTTGCAATTTCAGTTTAATCATTATTCCTCCCATTACCTTCAATTTGTTGAGTAAATAATTGTTTTTTGTTTAATTCAATTTTTCTCCCTAATAATTTTTCCATCTCATCCTTAATCTTTTTGTAGACATTTTGTAGCTTTTCACAGTCCCATCACATATGAATAAACTCTGCCATTCTCCCACATTTATGCCAACCAAGTTTTGATGGTTTCTTTTGTAATGTGGGCCAACTGGTGTGGGGTTTTGATACCATTTTGTCAATATTTTATGTTATGTTTCCCTAATCCTTAAGTGTTTGCTTTCCTTGCTTGCTTTTATCCAATTCTCAATCTCATTCTTCTTACAATTTAATGTGTCTTTCCATACCTCAATCAAAGTGAGTTGTATTTTTTCTGTATATGTATGTATTTATGTGTGTGTATGTACATGTGTGTGTGTGTGTGTGTGAATCTCCCAATTTCCCTCTTCTTCTCAAATTTCCATTTTAAAATTTGGTCTAAGTCTGCTTCTGGCTTTATTTTCCATTCTGTTATCATTTTCTGGCTCATTCCATGCCAAAATAGTTTATTTCTCTGCACTTACTCTTTAACTCCTCCCATTTTGATTGCTCCATCAGAGGGTAATAACTCGCCAATTTTTGTCATTCCATTCTGTTTCATATTACTTATCAATTTCCCAAATAGCTGATCTTTTTTATTATCTATTAGATCAATTTTATTTATTGGAGATACACTTTGCCATTTTTCCAGCATTGCATTGTTGAAATCAGTGATCCACCTTTTATTTTCATTACTTCCTTATTATCTAACTTTTCCTTAATACATGAGCAATGTTCTCACCCATTGATGGAATTCTCCAATCTTATCCATCTTTTTGACTCATCCAATAGTTTCACTAATTGGAATGCCTCAAAATAGCTCATAAGGTTTGGGGCTCCCCAACCTTTGTTCTCTTCTGGAGAATATAATATTGAATTAGAGATTCTACTCTTGTTAACCCGTGCTACGCAACATTTAATTGAGTTGTCCTATTTATTTATTATCTTGGATGAAATGTTAAATGGTGGTGTTTGAAAAAGGAACAATTACTTGGGTAAAATCTTGATTTTGCAAACCTTTATCCTGGTAGCAATATCCCAATTCCATTTTTTCCATTTAGGTATTTGTTTACTTATTTTCCCCCCATAATTGGTTGTGGTTTAGTTGAACTATATTATTTATATTATTTGGGATATATACTCCCAAATATTTTAATTTCTTTTTTTCCAATTTTACCCCAGAGGTGGTTTGCACCTCTTTTAATTCTTTCCAATGTCTATGGCTAATCTTGAAATGTTCTCAAATTTTTAAATTATTTTTGTTACTTCTTTTACATATTCTTCTGGTGAGCCTATTAATAACTTTGCATCATCTGCATATAAATTGACTTTTATTTCTTCCTTCCCAAATTTATTTTGTTTCTGTGTCTAATTAAATTAGCAAGGGGTTCTATCACTAACGTAAAAGGGATTGGTTTTGCTTCCCTTTTTATCTTAATGGTTCTTGTTTTTTAATTAATTAACTATTTCTTCTACCTGATTATCCCTGTTTTTCTCTGAATTAGTCCCTGATTACCTCACAGATTTTCCCCCAATTTAAATTCCTCACAAAGTTGAAACAGGAACTGGTAGTTTATTGTGTTGAAGGCTTTATAGTTCAATATCTTCTTGAAAGAAATCAAGCTTAGATATCATGGCATAACCACCACTTAAACAATTTCTAACCATATTTCAAGCAAGTTATACAAAAGCTGGGCCCAAAACTTTAGTGTGTTCCATTAAACCTGAGTAGGCAGAAACAGATGGCTACATTTTATTCTCCTAATTCATTTTAATATAGTAAAACCACATTTTGCTAACACTTTCAATGCCTGCTCTCTCTCCTCTGCTTTTATTCCTTATTCTCTGACTAACAACGTGAGCTGGAAAAGAGCAGAATTCCATTATTGCTGATATTACTGCAGTGGTTTCTGCCAGCCTACGGCAGCCAAGGTAACAGCAGCTTCCACCAGATCATCTTGTGGAATATGCATGAATAGCAGTAAAATAAAATATTGCAAAATAATATTATTCATTTAAACTCCACCTTTCCCACAATGATGGAACCAAAAAAAAATCTAAATGAATGAATGAATGAATGAAAAGGGGAAATAGGGTATAGCTGATAACCATGCCTTTTCAGCATGTTAAAAAATACACATGTATAGATTTAGGGACCAAAATGGAAATGACAAGAAAAGCAGAGGCTGATGACAGAAAAGGTCATTCCTGGACACATGTTTTAAAAGCCTTAACCATTCTTCTTTCTGGGAGTGTAGAATCCTATCCCTATTATTTCCTCCGGGTGGCTGAGGGGTTTTTCATTGAATTCCTCTGAGGCTGAGAAAGTGGATTTCTGTGGCAAATTAGACATTCAAACCTTGGTCTGCAGAGTCCTAGTCCAACATGTAAACTACTATATCATGCTAGTTGTCTGCTAGCCTGTTTCTTATTTTACTGCTTTTTAAACAGTGATTCTCAACGTTTGTCCTCTGCATATTTAGGACATAAGTTTGGAAGCTCCAGGGATTCTGGAGGCAGAAATCCAAAACAGCTGGAGGATAAAATGTTTAAAACCACTGATTTACAGTGTTCTATCTTTCTCTTTTTATTTTATACTTTTATTTCCAAAGGGATAGCCCAAAACAATGAATCCTATTGCTTTTAAGACCAAAGAATGAAATTTCATGGACTATACCACTTCATGAGGGTCATGAAGTGATCATGGTAGTTGTTTCAATTGCCTTATCTACTGCTAGGATGCATGTGTATTCAGTGACCATCTTCTGAAAAACCAGTGTTAATAAAGTAATTCTCATTTTGAATTATGTCCCCTTCCAGTTATGAGTATTATTATTTACATTTGAAATCCTGGATAGCACCTCATGCATTGGATGAAGGGGGATATAGTTCATAGAAGACCTTACTATCACAAATACAATCAGCCCTCCACATTCACTGGACCCCCATAAAAGTGAAAAAAACTGAAAAAAATGTTTTTTGTTTACCCAAGAGAACATCTCTTGAGAAACCTCTAGGTGTTCCAGCATGACTCTGTGGTTGACATCTGCTAGAAGATACCCACAGAACTGCACTGGAGGACATAGAGAATCCACAAAAATCAAAATCACAAACATGTAAGATCAACTGTACATAAGTCTTTAAGGTGATCCATGATTCTTGTTCCTTACACACCTGAATACCATTATTTTTTTTATTTATAATGTTTCTGCAGGCAAAATATAAATGTTGAAAACATCTCATATGTAGCCTAGTTTTCTCAATAAAATGAATACATACACTGGTAACAGGCATCTTTCAGCTGCCAAAACACAAGCACAACAAAACACAGTATTTTACTAATAGTAATATATTTACCTGGATCCATTCTTTCTTCTCTTCTTCTGTCCTATACAATGAAGAAAGAAACACATATTTTCTTTCCTTTTGACAATTTTGATAAATTGATGTGAACACAGGAAGTGCTTCTTGCAAGTCTGCTAGACATTTCCAGTTCATTATATCCAGAAGGATTTTTAATATTTCAAATATCATGAGCAAATATCACTAAAATCATTGATCTCTATAATAAATGATTAAAAAATCATTATCTGTTCTAGGAATCTGATGTGTCATTTATTCTAAAGGAAGCAGTAAATAACTGAAAGGAAATCTGTCTTCTTTTTTTAAAAATTGCTGTTACTTATTTTAATTAATAGAATTTGCTGCAATGAATTGTTTCACCATGCCTTCCATGTGTTTTAGACCACAACTCACATCATTCCTAGCCACTGGCCATGACTCAGGATGATGTGAGCTGTAGTCCAAGAACAACTAAAAGGCATTATGACAGTAAAAACCAATTGCATTTGGTTCAATTTATATAAGCAGAACAAAATTTGTACCTAGCTTGTAGCTCCAAGGATCTCTTTTTTCCTGTTATTGAGAATGTATGAGCCACATTTTGCTTGACAATTTCCTGGACCTAGAAAAACCAAATCAGTATTTTGATATTTCTTTTTAAAAATAGTATCAGCCACCTTTTTGACTATGAATTAAATCTTCACAGCCTCCAAATAAACAGCAGCAAAAAAACCCCTAAATCAATATTTTTAAAATTGGAAGAAGGAGACTTGATTTTATTCCAGTACTTTGCATGGGCCCCTACCAGTACTGCCAACCCCCCCCCCCCACCACACACACACACACACACTTTTATTGATATTGCAAGGGTTCCGTGGAAAGGAAGAGATTCCTTCAATTCCCAATGCAGCATGTTATGGATGGCCTGCTAACTATCTAAAACAGCATTGGGGCTGTTGCTGGGGATTATAGATAGAAAGAGGAATACCAATTTCCTCCATTGAACATCTGCTGAGAACAAGTTTGGATCCAAATCAGAATCTCAACTGAGAACAAAGAAGGATCTCCAATGAGGAGAGGCTTCAACTCTAACTTAATCTACATTTGTTGCTTCTGTGTGTGTGTGTGTGTGTGTGTGTGTGTGTTTAAGTCATCTGTTGACTTATGACAACCCCATGAATTTCACAGGATTTTCTCTGGCATAGAATACTCATAGGTGGCTTTGCCTGAAATATAGTCAAACATCTGATATTCAATTGTGGTCTCTCACTAAAATAATAACTAGAGCTGACCCCGCTTAGCTTCCAAGATAAGATGGGATCTGATGTCAAAATGTAGAAAAATACATGGATCTGCTTTGACCTTATTTCAGCTCACTGATAATCCAAAAAGCTCAGCAGCTTTTCACCAGCACTGACAGAACTACCAAGTCAACGGAACAGTATTCTAAATTGTTTACAGGACTTTCAATCCCTGAAACCATGATCATCTCTGCACTTAGGCCTAAAAACAGTATGCTCCTACACTGGGAATTCTCCTCATGTAATAGCAAATGTGCTTATTTCTCAATTGAGAGACCTTATATGAAACATGACTGAAAAATCCTAGAGCACAAAAATGAAAGCAGAAAAGCAGGGAGGGAAAGACACCAACCTGTAATCCTGCAATGTCGATCTTTTCTCGGACACTGAATTTCTGGCCTATCAGCCTCAGTTTTGGCACACAGTACAACACCATGCTGTTAAACTGTAATTGACAGAAAACTCTCATTATAAAAGATATTTAGAAATTTACTAAATATTTGGCCACAATGTGAAATGGTTTCCTACCCACTTTAAAATTTACTGATGGTAAATATTTATAATTCATTTCTACAAATACTCTGGAACAGAAATAACTTGATACGTGCTGGAATCAGCTACTATGATTTGCTCCTATTGTGACAAGATCTGACTTTTCCTAATCAGCATTCAAAGAGAGATTTTTTAAAAATGGGCCTTAAATCCTCAGTACCCTATGAATTGAATCTTACTAAACTGAATGTTCCCTTTTCCAACTGGGACAAGTCCATTGGATACCAATAGAAATAGGATTACTGTGTGTAATGTGTATGAAACCTATCAACCTATCCTTTGAAAAGATCTTGCTTTCACCTACTTCCCATTTGGGCATGACTTTACATCTAATTGAACATTATTCTTGTTTTAAAAGACATATTTCTTTAGTTTAAGACTGATGTTCTCAAATGTAAAAGTAATTTGACTCTATGGTCAACTTCCACCGGAAAATTTTGCCTTGTTTAAGAATCTCTAGGTCCTCCAGTGTGGCTCTGTGGGGAACTTCTAGTGGAAACTGACCACAATCAAATCTCTGAATAAACAAATCTGCAAACGAAAAATTCAAAAATATGGAGGGCCAACTATGGGGAAGGGGAACACGCCCCCCTTTTAAAAAAGTTGCTTGTGTAACAGTGAAGTGAAGGCTTGCCTGAATAGAATAGAAGGCCTGAACAACTTAATCAAAGGAGACAGTCTGTCTGCGAAGCAGAAGAAGGTTCTACTCCATGGAAACCTGCTCACTCACCAGAAACAGATACCTGTCCTGAGCGGTACCATTTTTTGCTGACAATTTCTGAATGTGCCCCTCTTTAATCAATTCATTGGCTGGATTAACAATATCCTCTTCTCCTCCAAGTCGCTCATACACTTCTAACAGCTTGTGCATTTTTTCCTGGAAGACCAAAAAGAAATGCTAGCTCAGCTACAATCAATCCATCTATTAATTTATAATGAGCACAGTGGCAGAAACAATAGTTCAACTAATTAATGGGAGAAATTATTTGTTTATTAAATGTATATAACATGCTTCCATTAAAATAGTATTCAAGGGGAATAACAATAATAAAATACAGAATTATAAGTGAACAACAACAACATTAAAACCATATTGATACAGGAGAATTTTTGCTGAACCAAGCAAAAGGAAGTACATTTAAAATGTAATTGCAACATGCAAATTTAAAATAGCACCCACCCATTAGAGAAAATTTAATGATAACTACTGAATAATATTTTTTTTTGTATAATACTGTGCTGGTAGATTTGAGTATAAAGACAGTCCCTGTGTTACAAAACAAATAGGTTCTGTAGGTTTGTTCTTATGTTGTATTCGTTTGTAAGTTGTAACAGGTACATTTTAAGTGCAACTCTAGCTAAATACTCCAGCAAAGGATCGCCGCCTTGTCGGGGCGCTGGAGCTTGAGCACCTCAATGATGTCATGAGCGAAACCGTGAAGGGCCACCCAAGACGGGACGGTTGTGGCAGAGAGGTCAGACCAAGCGTGATCCCTGGGGAAGGCAATGGCAAACCACTCCAGTATCCTTGCCAAGAAAACTAAATGGACCAGTACAACCAGAGATATGTCGGTATGCCATTGGAAGATGGGACTCCCAGGTCGGAAGATGGCCAAAATGCTACTGGGGAGAAGCAGAGGATAAGTTCAACTAGCCCCAGATGTGATGACGCAGCTAGCTCAAAGCCGAAAGGAAGGCTAGCGGCCGACGGTACTGGAGGTGAACGACGAATCCGATGCTCTAAAGATCAACACACCATAGGAACCTGGAATGTAAGATCTATGAGCCAGGGCAAATTGGATGTTGTTATTGGTGAGATGTCAAGACTAAAGATAGACATTCTGGGGGTCAGCGAACTGAAATGGACTGGAATGGGCCACTTCACATCAGATGACCACCAGATCTACTACTGCGGACAAGAGGAACATCGAAGAAATGGAGTAGCCTTCATAATTAATAAGAAATTAGCTAAAGCGGTGCTTGGATACAACCCAAAAAATGACAGAATGATCTCAATTCGAGTGCAAGGAAAGCCTTTCAACATTACAGTGATCCAAATATATGCCCCAACCACAGCTGCTGAAGAAGCAGAAGTAGATCAGTTCTATGAGGATCTGCAGGACCTCCTGGATAATACACCAAAAAGAGACATTATTTTCATTACAGGAGACTGGAATGCCAAGGTGGGAAGTCAAATGACAACTGGGATCACAGGCAAGCATGGTCTGGGAGAACAAAATGAAGCGGGACGCAGGCTGATATAATTTTGCCAGGAAAACTCGCTGTGTATAACGAATACTCTCTTCCAACAACCTAAAAGACGGCTTTATACATGGACCTCACCAGATGGTCAACACCGAAATCAGATTGACTACATCCTTTGCAGCCAAAGGTGGCGGACATCCATCCAGTCGGTGAAAACAAGACCTGGGGCTGACTGTAGCTCAGATCACGAACTTCTTATTGCCAAATTTAGAATAAAACTAAAGAGATCAGGGAAAATACACAGACCAGTTAGATATGATCTCACTAACATTCCTAGCGAATATAGTGGAAGTGAAGAACAGATTTGAAGGACTAGATTTAGTAAACAGAGTCCCAGAAGAACTATGGACAGAAGTCCGCGACATTGTTCAGGAGGCGGCAACAAAGTACGTCCAAAGAAAAAGAAAACCAAGAAGGCAAAATGGTTGTCTGCTGAGACACTGGAAGTAGCCCAAGAAAGGAGGAAAGCAAAAGGAAACAGTGAAAAGGGGAGATATGCCCAGTTAAATGCGCAATTCCAGAGGTTAGCCAGAAGAGATAAGGAACTATTTTAAATAAGCAATGCATGGAAGTGGAGGAAGACAACAGAATAGGAAGGACAAGAGACCTCTTCCAGAAAATTAGAAACATTGGAGGTAAATTTCAGGCAAAAATTGGTATGATAAGAAACAAAGATGGCAGGGACCTAACAGAAGCTGAAGAGATCAAGAGAAGGTGGCGAGACTATACAGAAGATCTGTATAGGAAGGATAATAATATTGAGGATAGTTATGACGGTGTGGTGAATGAATTAGAACCAGACATCCTGAGGAGTGAAGTTGAATGGGCCTTAAGAAGCATTGCTAACAACAAGGCAGCAGGAGACGACGGGATCCCAGCTGAACTGTTTAAAATCTTAAAAGATGATGCTGTCAAGGTGATGCATGCCATATGCCAGCAAATATGGAAAACACAAGAATGGCCATCAGACTGGAAAAAATCAACTTACATATCCCCATACCAAAAAAGGAAATGCGAAAGACTGCTCAAACTTCCGTACAGTGGCCCTTATTTCTCATGCCAGTAAGGTAATGCTCAAGTTCCTGCAAGGAAGACTCCAGCAATACATGGAGCGAGAGTTGCCAGATGTTCAAGCTGGGTTTAGAAAAGGCAGAGGAACGAGAGACCAAATTGCCAATATCCGCTGGATAATGGAGAAAGGCAGGGAGTTTCAGAAAAACATCTACTTCTGCTTCATTGACTATTCTAAAGCCTTTGACTGTGTGGATCATAATAAATTGTGGCAAGTTCTTAGTGGGATGGGCAGCCCAAGCCACCTTGTCTCTCTCCTGAGGAATCTGTACAAGGACCAAGTAGCAACAGTAAGAACTGACCACGGAACAACAGACTGGTTCAAGATTGGGAAAGGCGTACGGCAAGGCTGCATACTCTCACCCAACCTTTTTAACTTGTATGCAGAACACATCATGCGATGTGCGGGGCTGATGAATGCAAAGCTGGGGTGAAAATTGCTGGAAGAAACATTAACAACCTCAGATATACAGATGACACCACTCTGATGGCCGAAAGCGAGGAGGAGCTGAGGAGCCTTCTAATCAAGGTGAAAGAAGAAAGCGCAAAAGCCGGGTTGCAGCTAAACATCAAAAAACCAAGATTATGGCAACAAGAATGATTGACAACTGGAAAATAGAGGGAGAAAATGTGGAGGCCGTGACAGACTTTGTATTTCTAGGTGCAAAGATTACCTGCAGACGTAGACTGCAGCCAGGAAATCAGAAGACGCTTACTTCTTGGGAGAAGAGCAATGTCCATCTCGATAAAATATTGAAGAATAGAGACATCACACTGGCATAGTCAAAGCCATGGTATTCCCTGTAGTAACCTACGGATGTGAGAGCTGGACCTTAGGGAAGGCTGAGCGAAGGAAGATAGATGCGTTTGAGCTGTGGTGTTGGAGGAAAGTTCTGAGAGTGCCTTGGACTGCGAGAAGATCCAACCAGTCCATCCTCCAGGAAATAAAGCCCGGCTGCTCACTGGAGGGAAGGATACTAGAGACAAAGTTGAAGTACTTTGGCCACATCATGAGGAGACAGGAAAGCCTAGAGAAGACAATTATGCTGGGGAAAGTGGAAGGCAAAAGGAAGAGGGGCCGACCAAGGGCAAGATGGATGGATGGCATCCTTGAAGTGCCTGGACTGACCTTGAGGGAGCTGGGGGTGGTAACGGCCGACAGGGAGCTCTGGCGTGGGCTGGTCCATGAGGTCACGAAGAGTCGGAGACGACTGAACGAATGAACAACAACAACAATATACACATAGGCTTTGGATAGCCAGTGTGTGTGTGTGTTTGTTCTGCCAACTGTGCCCCTATTCAAAAGATTTCACCTGGACAACTGGATTTTGAAAAATTGGAGTTGTCATGGAAACAAGCATTGGTGCTAAAGCTTCAGTGGAGACACCTTTTCCCCATGATAATTCTGTCAGGAGTTAATTTTCCTTCTGTGGGGTAGATTTCTGTCACTTCCTATCATCTCACTCCAGTTTGTAACAAGGAGTTGGATGTTTGTACCTTGGGGACTGCCTGTATTAGTTTCTAAAATGTCCATGCCACTGCTACTTTCATTCCATACTATCCCCTGGGAATTCAAGCACCCGGTACAATGTTTTATTGAAAGCCCAAGTGATTTCTTTTTAAATTCTGAGACATGGAAGAAGTACACATGGAAGAAACAAGCCAAAAAACAGTATTGTGAGAATTTACACTTCTTCAAGCCAAACTAAAGAAAAACTTTCCCAATAACTAATTTTAGCAGAAAAATTCAATAAAATAATTTCATCTTCAACTTATTTTTAAAAAATCAAAAAAAGAGAAGAAAGATATACAATAGGAAGAGCAAAGATTTTATCAACATTCATGACTTTTTTAAAACCTGGTCTTAGTACAGGTTTTATTATTCAGCACTAACATAGTGTCCAGAAATAGCTCTTCTTAACAAATTAGTTACCAGCTTGATTCTGCAGCATCTAAACATAGATTACAGGTTTCTAGTCCTAACAGCTACAGTGATAACAGTTGAATGGGGATCAGATGTAGACTAAGGGCATAGATTTTCCTTTACCCATCCATGCTACAGTAAAAAAACCTCAGTTACATGCATGACACTCCCATAATGGTGTGTACATGTGGGCTTTTGGTGGGCTGTTTAGTTTTTAACTATAACTTTAATTGTATTTTAATTTTTAAACTCAGGACACAAAGATTTTATTTTTTATAATTTTTAAATTTATATGTATATGCATTCTCTTTGTTTTGAATTTTTTATTGTATTTAGTCACATCACTGTTAGCCATCTTGAATTCTTATGGGGAGAAAGGCACATAAAAATAAAGTAAATAAATATAAATAAATAAATACATGTCTGCACAGAGCTGAAGAATAAGGAAAAGTGCTTCTGAATAATCTAGCATCTCACTAAATAATAGGAAACAAGATGTTTCACAGAAACTTTCTCAGGGATGAATTGAAAGTGATGTTCATGTAGTAGCTGCTGCCAAGACCAGCAATTATACATCCAGTCTGTCAACTGCTCCAGGTAACATTTCATATTTTAGAAGATAAATTGATTTACATCATCAGGTCATGCCTGTACCTACCCAAATATGGTATTATTGGCTGCTGGTCAGGAAAATATGACATCAAAACATCATGTCATACATTTCTCTCATTAAATATTAGGAATGGAGAACTGAACAGAGGGCTTTTAAAAAAGCAGCCCCATTATCCCCATCTTTCATTAGGATACAGGCATGTAGCCAGGGGGGAGGGGGTTGAGAGGCTTCAGCCCCCCCCCCCCCAAATTCTCATGGTGGTTCGCGAAAAGGCCTTACTGGTGCATTATTTAAACTGTTATGTTTATTCATATCATGATCTGATCACCATGCTCAATATATCCCATATGCATGGGGGTATTGGGGTAATGATACAAAAGGTTTGCTAGGGTAGACCCTTTTTCACTCAGACTCAGCCCCCCCCCCAAAACTCACCCCCCAACCCCCCCCCTGAAAAAAACTCAGCCCCCCCCCAAATCGAAATCCTGGCTACGGGCCTGTTAGGATATAACTCAATACATTTTACCTGTAAATGAGTGCAATTTGAATCAATAAAGGCTGCTTCTGACTAACTATGTAAAGATTTGTACTCTAATTCTTCTACTCTTCCTGCCAAAAGAAAAAGAATAAAAAACAGAACTGCTAGTACTCATATTTTCAAAGGGAAAACAGAAATCGTTTCTCTCATCCAGCAGGCCTTAGAGTAGCCGGAAATCTATTTTATACTTCACCATGTTTTTTCAAAGTCACTCTCTGAAACTAGCCCGGGCACTCATACCTGGCAGGAACAGGACCACCAGAACTCCGTGAGCCCATTCAAACAGTTCAGAAAGACATTACACTGGATGCCAAGAGAATGAATAAAAGCAATAAATTATCACTTCCCTTGTTTCTAGCTCAAACGTGTTAATTTATTTGAATGGCTATTTCTCATTCATTCTCAAAAGTGGGCTGAAACCCCATTTTTATCTGAAACCAAGACTACAGTGACTGCAAGTTGTAGTCCAAAATTAACTATCAAAAGCACTCTGTTTCCACTAATATACTCTATTAAGAACCCCATTGCACCTTGCCTGAAAAGGTGTAACCAGCTCCCTATTGACACAAAACACAATTAAAAGAAAAGTGGTGGTTTCTGGAATAAGACTTCATAAAAACATTAAGAGATCTTCTAGTTATCCGCTCATATCTAAAATATCAAGCAAGAAGAAAAAGCTACATGGTGTCTTCAATAGGGAAGGCAAAACAGTGTTATGTTCCCTTCTAATTCTAAGATTCCATGTTTCTCCTACAGATAAACGGAAACATGACTTCATGGGTCTTGCTGCTTCAGCATGTTATAGTTCTTATTCTTCTTAGACATATTTTTCAAAGTCCTGCATTTCAGCTGCTTCCTTGATAAAAATGCCTGCACAATACTTCCCAAACAGTGTCATGTCCAGTTGACTATTACTAATTCAGTAATGATACAGAGATATAGATGCTGTTCAACTTGGCCCTAAAGTTAACCAATGTTGCCTTTAAAATGTAGGCTGTTCTGCTGGATCGGTCTTTAAGATTTAACACAGCTATCTGCTTTTCACTACAACCCAACCTCCTTGCTTCATTTACATGCTTATTCGCCCATTAATTCTCACTGACTTCCTTCTGAGCAGCCAAGCATAGCATTGTGATGTCAATTTATAAAACCAATGGCTAATATTTCAAATATATTCAATGTCATGTTTAGAACATACAGAAAGGAAATGACACAAGAAGAGAAGGATTTCTGAGTCTATTCACATAAATCATTGGTAATTAGTAGACAACACTGAGAAGAAAGAAGCCCTCCCCACCTAAAACACAGTAATTATAGAAAGGCACTGATTCATATTTGAGCTTGATCTATACCAGATAGTGTCCATCAGTATGAAAACCATCATTAAGGGACTCTGGGGCAATGAGAAAATGCATTGTTCAAATAGGCATCTCAGTTAATGGCTCAGCTGATGATCCTGCAACACAGTTTCTACTCACCATTTTTCGGATGGCTGCATTTGAATGGTTTGCTGCAGTAGAAATGAGCTCCAGTGATTCTGAAAGAGAGGCAGGAGACGATATACATTATACAAGATTGCTATCAGTTTTTATTTCCCTGGTGTGCACAACTCAGCTTCAAAATAGCTGATACACACAAATAGCTAATTTGTCAAGAACACACTGCATCACATTCCCAGCCTTGTTAGGGTCAAATGTGCAACTAAAAACATTATGTTTAAAACCACAGATTTTTTTATAAACCAGATAGGTAGTACATAATGGGCAATGATGTCAAAGAGCAGTATTTTTTCATGAACTCAGTGATGAGGATCAAATAAATTACTGAGAACAAGATATATGCTTCTAAAGATTGTTTTTCTCTGCTGTGCAACCTCTCAGTGGATTGAGAAGGGATAAACACTTTAGTGTATACATTGTTCATGTGGCAGATTGTACCCTTGAACATCTTCCAAGTTATGGTTGTGGGACTGAGAATTTCTGTTCCTAAGCCTTTGGTTGGAATTAATATAAAATAATCAATGTACAATCTGAAATTCATCCTCTTTGTAATTTAATATTTCACTTCTGACACTGAATGTTTCCTTTGGTCACTTTTATCCCACCAGCACTATTAAATTTGTTTCAACTGTAACACTTAACATGACTTAATGCTTACATAGATGAAGATTTGGGTTTCTGTGGCCAAGTGGGAAATCCAACCCTGGTTTCCAGAATTGTGGTTCAGCGCATGCGCACATACACACACAAAACACCATACTGCCTCTTTTTGTACCATAAGCAGTTGAAATACTGCTGCTGGTCAATTCAATCAATTGTTATTAGTAGCTTCCTTTTAGAAATACTATCAAGATGCAAGAATTACCATGATCACATAGTATGTATATGTAATTGTATATATATTACAAGTCCTTGATGCAAATCTATCAAGACAGATGCAAGAATTACCATGATCACATAGTATGTATATGTAATTGTATATATATTACAAGTCCTTGGTTTTATAAGTGTATAGTCCAAACTGATTGATATCATCATATAACTAAATTTAAAAAACCAACAAAAAAACAACACACAACCTACTACTTTATCACACTAAAGAATGAATCCACTTTAAAATCTGGTTAATGCCTCCTACAGAATTCTAGGGTTTGTAGTTTAGTGAGGCTGTTAAAGGCTCCTCCCTAAACTACAAACCCCAGAATTCTGCAGGAGGCAGAAACCAGATTTTAAATGGATTCATTCTCTAGTGTGATGAGGTCTTTAGAGAATGCATTCAAATCGTGTAACTATAAGCAGGGGGGACAGCTGAATTTGCCCATAAATAAGATTGCTTCCCCTCCATATAAAATTTTCAGTCCTCTAATTTCTAGTATTGTAAAGAATGAAACACTGAACATAGTTTGAACATAAAATTCTTATATTTGTAATGTTTGTAATTCCTTTATAATATTCTTGTGCCCCTCTTCTTGGATACCTTAATTGGATTTTTAACTGCTAAACAGAAACTTTAAGCTGCTGAATTGCTAGAAACTTGAGGAGGGAAGGAAATGTTTATTTGGGAAGAGCAATATTTTTTATAGTTTATATGCTAAAACATGATGCCCCCACCACTTATAGGAGTTTTAACACTGAAATACTTAGTTGGTCACCTTGAGTTCTGATTCTGGGAAAGAAATATGATATAAACAAAAAGAACAATAGAAGCATACAACAACTTTACAGAACAAACAGATTGTTCCCAACAAAATTGAAGAAAATTGTACTTACTTTCAGCATCTTTTCTATCAAGTGACTCTCCAGGAAGTTTTTTAAGATAATCCTTGAGTAGAAGCTCATAGCGTGGAATTCTCTGTACAGGTTCCAGCATGTGATGCTGTAATGTGAGGTTCCCACAAACATCCTGTTTCTGAAATCAAACAAAAATGTTGTTCTGGGCATTTTTAAAAAATACTTGGCATATTCATGTAACCAAATAATTAAAAGAAGTAGAAACTCAGAAAAATTGATTATGATTGTAGACAGATGTTCCCTGAGGACCATGCAATAATCACTAGAATGAAATAAAAGAATGGAAATTCATTGCTTTTATTCATACTGAAAGTAGAGCATCTTCCTTAATGATACCCTAATTTCAAATCTATAATTCTGCTATACTTTTCTTAGCCATGTTATATTCTTTTCCTTTTTCCTAGATCAATAAAAGTAGAAGCAGCTACTTAAATATTAATCACATATCAAATCTTTCCCAAAGATCTACAAGTTAATTAAGATGACAGGCATCAATCAATGCAATAGATATGCCTAAGCAGAAACCCAGACTTAAACATCTTGTGGTATATGATATAAAGATATGAGAAAATGAACCCCTCGTTGTTTTGTATTAAATTTAACCAAGGTTACCAAGGTGTAATGGTTTATATTCTTCTTCTTCCTCCCTAAAAAGGAATTTAGAGCATTTGACAACCACTAGGAAGATTTGACAATATGAGCAGTAAACAAAAATGCACATATTTGCTGCAGTGTTCCTTCAAGTCATTTCTAATTTATGACTAAGGGAAGCCTATCATAGTGTTTTCTTTGCCATCCTCTGAAATTGAGAGTGTGTGACTTGCTTAAGGTCATCAAGTGGGTTTCCAAGGCAGAGTGTGGGATCAAAGCTTGGTCTCCCAGTGTCCTAGTCCAACACTCAAATCTCTACCCAACGCTGGCTATGCATATTACATTAATCAATACTTTTTTATTTGTGATGCATTTTTCATGAACTGCTTCAGTCTTAAGAGTAATTACCAATGCTTTCTCTACAAATAGAGATACCACAGCATGCATCTCCAGCACGAAATCTCATACATTAGCAATAAATAATGAGTTATTGTTCCTTTGTGGATGAATGCATAATTGTTAGAAATATTCTGTACAATAGGGTCAAAGGTCAAAATTATTTTTCTTTCAGGAAATGAGTTTCCTATTAATGAAGGTGCATGGATTCCTACACAATTTGTGACTAAGCCATGAAAAGTTCATGGATCTTGGTTGTATCCAGCAAGCCAGAAATAATTGGAAAACTTTTCATTTTGACTCAGGTTTAGAAAAACCTATATTTTACACACAGCCTTTTGAACTGTTGTTTAGCAAATAAGCAGATGAATTCTCATAAAGCCCAGTTTGCTCTGGGCTCGTCGGCCAGATTTCAGTGAATTGGAAATAGATTTTTGTAACTGCAAAATGTGTCTCAGTAAGCTTTTGAGATCAACGTTTAGATGTATTCTAGGTTATGAGAGTGGGAACCAATGTATTTTAAAAGCATTTGCTGGCATATATACACTGTCTGCCAAGAAATATTAACATAGTGCAAATGATTTTTTTTCTTTTGAAAAACATCTTTCTGTCTTTTGTTTTCCAATGAAGTCTGTCAAGATGTGATGGTTGAGCTTTTCCTAGTTAGTGAAGGTTTTGATTCCTCATGTGTAATAGTAACATGATATATAGACTATGAAACATTGCAAATGAATGATCTTTCTTTTTACACATGAACCTGACCCTAAGTTACAATCATCTTCTGAATCCTGTTGTATTGTCCCACAACTAGCAGAGAGGTAGTCTTTCCTGTGGAAGCATCTTCTTTCCTATATATGTCATTCCATTCCCAAAGTGGTTAGACAAACCTCATTTCTTCTAGGGAAGCTATAAATACACTTTATCCACTTAGGATTTTAACTGGATTACATTTTTTGTTTAATTTTGCAACTCGTTTCATTTGTTGCATTTTGTTTCATAAACTTTGGACTCTTGTTAGGTTCAAAAGGTGATACAGAAATGATTTTATAACTCAATATACCTGTATGTTTTGAATGACGTCTTTAAAAGGAGATGATCTCTGCATCCACGTGTTAACCATGTCCATTGCTCTGTCAAAATTCTTTACATATTCTCCATACATCTTCAGAAATGGAGCAAGTTTTTGAAAGATATCTCCTAGCCTTGGATTTGTATTCCTGTAAAACAAACAATTGAAAAAATAGAAATTGGAAGATAACATTAATTGCACACCCAACTGTATATATGTATGTCAGGATTCAAATTCCACCTTCTATAATATAAAGGGTTTCTTCAACACATATAGATCTACCTGGTTAGAAGAGTGGTAAGATGAATTTGCTCTTCCCCTGAATTTCCCTGCACCACCTTCAACACTGTCCCAAAATGCATATTTACAAAAAAAATTATAGACATCAATATAGTGTATTCAGAAAGAAAATGAGGATGTTCATTTTTTTATGATCACCTTTCTAGTGAGAGAGCTTTCTTGGTGGCCGCTCCAAACTCTGGAACTCCCTCCCTAGATAGTGAAGGATGGTGCCTTCCTTGGTCTCTTTTCAAAACCATCCACTAAATGGCTGTCAGCCTCCTCCCAGTAGACTTAAATCAAGGAAAAGTTTCATGAGAACCACCACTCCTCTAAATGTTCCTCTGACAACAGCAAGAACATCCTTGCGGATAGCAAAATCAGGCATTTCCAACTGTATGCGCCCCCTCCACCACCATAAGGGTCTTCCTCCAGGGGTAAACCAAGAATGGGCAACTTGGAAGTCCCTGAATAGATCCAGAAGCAGAGTTTGCAGATCAAAAGACAACCTGGCAAAATGGCACTACCTAGAAGATTTCTCCACCTTGTGTGACTGTGGAGCAGAACAAACAACTCAGCATCTATATGCTTGCCCACAATGCCCTGCCTCGTGCACAGAGGAAGAATTGTTTAAAGCTACAGACAATGCAGTTGCAGCTTGTGATCCCTTTATTTTATCAGTTTTAGATAAACTATTTTATGGAATGCTTTTGATATGAAATAAATAAATAACTGTCAAGAGAAAACTATCTTATTCCATCGAGTTTAAATTAATTTATTGTGATGATGTGCTATTATTTTGACTTATAATATTATACCTTTTAATGAATTTTAAATAGCTTTAGCACACTCTCTGTTTTACATCTATGGTGTTTTTAATCTGTATGGATTTTAATAGTTTGTAAACTTCCTTGAGTACCGTTGGGGAAAATGTGAGATGAAAATGAATGAAATTATTATTATTATCATCATCATGATCACAAGAAAAATCAGCATACTTAAATTACATTATGCTTTTCATACAAATGCATTTCTGTTATTTACTAAATAAAGTTGTGTTTTTGAACTGCTATCATACTCCTATCCATCTACACTGCTCAGGTTGTTTGTGAACAGACACAATGGGATGGACGGCAGGCATTGCTTGATTGTGCATATATACCAAGGTATTACTTCTCAGGACTAGTTTACTTATCCCAATGATGTATAACTTTTTTTTGTCTCCAAGGACTGCATATTGTGTCAACTGGGGTCACATATACTCCTCAGAGTTATGTTCTCTTAGGATCTTTTATAAATGAAATTTGAACAAAGCTTTTAAACAAAGTATATATCTTAAAACAAGTGAAGTATAATTTGCTCAGTAATAGAAAGTTAGTTTGACCTCTGCCCCTCTGAATGTTAAAAGACAGTGGGTTAAAACTATCACTGATTTTCATATTGAAATTTCCTGTGCTTTGATTTTAAACTTTTTAGAATATTTATGGTTATGAAATGCACACAAAACTGAGAAGATGGGTATTTCTATGAATGAGTTCCTAGTATAGCTTATTCTATCAGCTTTCATACATTTCTGTGTATATTCAGCCACATCCATGGGCTAGCTATAGGTGCAAATGAAAGTTGTGTATTAGCTAGAATGGGCAATTGAGTTATCACAGAGGTGGGCTAGCTCTATGTATGTAGTAGAGAGATAAAACCACAGAACAGTGTCTGGCAACAACAAAGACGATATTTCTGCACCAGCAACTTCTTTCCTCTTAAAGGAGAGATAAAACTGATTTAAAACATGTTTTCAATTGTGCGTCGGGGACAAGGTTTACCACAAGTTATTGCTTCTGATCTACCAATTGGTTTGAAGCTATCTCAGACATAATGGTGGCATCTCTACTGGAGTATAACTAGGAACATCCAAAAAGATGTTTATGGTAACATCGGGATATTAGCTCGTTCCCTGAAGCGCACTCCAACACTGAAAACATGCTACAGAGGATTTTCTACCCCTTCGAAGCAGGAGTTTTGTGGAGGGGATGGGGTCCTGTTTCTGCAGCAGAAGAGTTAAGATTCCCCAACTATACATCAGCTTTCACTCTTGTGTAAAAGCTCAGCTGGAAATGCAGCACACAATTAGATCTTACAAAGTACTACATAATAATGAAATGCAAGGTTCACAGAACTCTTAAACAGGTAGATTTTACTATTACGGAAGTTGACATTTCCGTTATTAGAAAACAGTAACATAAAATGAAAACATTGTACTCACCACTCATCAGTAATTCTTGTTTTGAGCTCAGGTAGGAGAAACTGTTCATGGAAACGATAGATGGAAGAAATATTTGAAAAGATCCCTGTTACCACATCAGGTGGAATCCCTGCTTCATACAATTTAGTGCAAAAAACCTGTATCAGAAAACCACAACAATACAATAAACATCAGAATCAAACATTTATTATCCATGTGAATGTCATCCATCTGGAGTTTGACATATGATTCATTGTTTTCCACAGAATATGTATTTTTGAACTATTTTCCCAAGACACATTGTACTGTCATTTGTTAAAAGGCTCCTCTGCATCAATATATTGCAATAAATCTTCGACCTGCTTATTTTGATAGCCACTCGCTGGCTGATTAGAGTGAGACATGGTGTAAATTATCACATTACTAAATAGGAATTAAATATAGTATTTCAAAAACAAATGAAATAAGATGTTTTACCTATATAACTTCAAGTAACCATCTTAGATACAAAAGTGATATGTCCTAAATTGTTTAAAAAACTTTACAGTGAGGATCAATTGTATTTTTCCTTTTTCTACACTAGACATTGCTCAACTGGTTAAAGGGCAACAGACATCTGAGTCAGCTATTACAAAAAAAAACCTGAATAAGGAGGAAGTTAAATGTCCAAAATAACTACCATTAGTCCTGTTGATATATTTGGCTCAAAACACAGCAATCTAGTGGGACATTGCAATTAAACAAATCCATTAGGACACATTTTTGGTTTTTACAGGATTATCGAGGCTGATATCTTTTCTATCCATCATCATGAATAACAAAACTTATTATTTCCACAATGTTTCTGATCTTCAGATCATTTATCTCAAGAATCTTCACAGCGATCCTGTAGCCTCCCCAAACCGTTGCAAATACATGTTCTTCTAAAGAGATCAGACCAATAGCCAAATTAATACAAGCATATGCACAAGCAAATACACGTGAATATATGGCCACCTTTTATTATGTTTGGGTGCAGATCAAATGACATGAAAGCTCCTTGGTTTCAAAAAAAGTATTCCTATATCACATTTGTGCATTATTGCAGCTTGCAATTGTAATTAACTAGGTTATCAATATGCATGGGTGAATTCACCCTATTGGCCTAATGGTCAGCATTCCCAGTTATTTGCTTCTCTATTCTACTTTCTTTGTAATACTCAGAAATGAAGCACAGGAGATGGAAACTTTGATTTTCCATAACAGAAAACACTGTCTACTTTTGACAACTTTAACACCATGTGATTTATTATCTAATTTGTAATCTAATTCATGTAGAAATGAAGAGGTATTTGGTTGTATATGCACCACAGCAGAGGGCATGTACACTTCCTTAAAAGAGGAAGAGAAAATTTCTCAATTTTTTTGTGTTTCTAGTGGCATTATTACTGCTGAAAATTTCAGAACCATACAGCAGGATGAAAAGGGAAATATCACTGTAAAGAATGGTTTATTTTATGCCAGTGTCTGTGACCACTGGTAGGAAGTGACAGACATATCCAGAATTATGTATGATTTGTTTTACCATGTTGGTTCTTTCAGCATCTTGGAGTAATATTCCACTGAAATGAATTCCTCAAGTGAAAAAGAAAGTCAACTCAGGTTGTTAATTTATGTGAATCTGCCCTACTGCAGAAACAATAGCACTTGGTTTTCTAGAGTATGGGAAATGCCTCAATGTGAAAATATCATATGAAGTAGTAAAAATGATGCCCTACTCAAACAAAGAATACTTGTAATGCTTTCAAGATGATCTGGTGAGAATATTGGTCAGGAAGTGTGCAGACAGGTGGATTATTAAAATGGAACAACAGAGGAGTAATCTAACTTAAAAATTGTACTTTTTATCATAGTATAAAAATATGAAATTCTTACAATATTCCAATTGTCAGTATTTTCAGAAAATCATTTGTATTTGGCCATCCTTGAAAGACAAAGATTCCTGCTGAAGATGAGCAAACCACTGGTAGTTTCAGAGATAGGTAATTCATGTTGGTGGATGTGGGAGATGGGAGGGGGAGGGGAAACTGCATCAAAGTCCTCTATTGTTATCACATGCTATCACTCTGGAAATGCCACAATTGCCAGAACAGTGCACACAGATCACCAAATGAGACTAGATGCAAGTTTTAGAATAAGGCAGAATGTAAACAAAGGAATTATACATCTCAGAAAATTAAAATACCATAGAAGACGTACCTGATCTAGCAGATGAAGCCTTTTCACATATGCTTCTTCCGTATGGAGAAGTTCATTTGCAATGTTAAACAGCTTTTGTGGCTCCGAACACTGCAACAATATGAAAAATGCAAAGCCAATTTTAAATATATATTCCAAGGACAAACTAAATAAAGAATAATTTTCACATAACTCCTAGTTACTGAATGTACTCTACAGTGACAGGAGTTCTTCCATTTGGATGATTTATGCATCTAATTATAGTGTGATTGTTTTCTTTTTCTAAAAACAAATTATTGCAGTGCAATGGCTTAACAGTTGCCTTATAGCCAGGTAATCTTTAGCTCATTGTCAGATAATTCCATGTATAGCATTCCCACCAAGGTGCTCTTTGATACAACGTGGAGCTTTCCACATCCAACAAGTTGGAGAAAAGGACACCTAATGCTGTTTAGTTAGTCTATTTTTGACCAAAGGTTTCAAACATAATTATCAAACTTAATACACAAGGTTTAAGGCTTGCTGAGGTTGCTTCAGAAACAACAACAAAACCATAAGGAAAGGAAATGGGCTTAGGGACCAAAACTAATCAGGTAAACATGGTACAATCTTTCTTAAGCAACATTTCATTAAATGTTTCATTAAATTAACAAAGTTAATGCCATCTCCTTGGCTCATTTTGTGCCTCTCTCTGAAGTTCACCTGATGGCACAATAAATGTGTGTGTGTACGTATGTGTAGGTGGGTGTTCTTTCTGCTGTAATGAACTGAGAAGTAGTCATCTTTGAAATGGATTGCTAAAGGAGAATTCTATGGAACCACCAACAAAAACCAAATAAATGAGTCAGAGCAGAAGTCATGCCTGCACTCTCACTAGTAACTAAAACAACTAGGCTGAGATTCTTATGCACTGGATATATCATGAGTTACCCTCACTTCACTAGAGAAGATTTCGCAAAGTACATTACAGATTGATGGATTCAGTAAAAAAAAACTCCCGTCATTGGGTAACTATATATTGAAGCCAGTTTGATGCACATAACAACATTTACACATTTGGCTTCCTCCTTCCTGGTTTTCAAGCAATTCTACTTCCTCTTGATGCAAAAAAAAGACCATACTGCCCATCTTAGAAGCATTCGCTTTTCAGAGTTATTAATAAAATGATGCTGACAAGACATCATAACCACTATTTTTAACAACTGCAATCAAAGGAAAAATACCACTAAAACACTGACAAAGCTACTATACCTATCAGAAGAAAACTGATGTTCCTGTAGAAATATTATCTTACTAAAGAAAAATAGGCCACATTCCATGTTAGTCTGTGCTACTGTGAAACTGGCATCAAAAGACAAGACAGATAATAAAAGGGAATAATACAGGTCTGAGACACCCTCAAGTACCTAGCCCATAGCACCATCTCTGTCCATCATAGTTCAGATTCTATACAATCATATTCTTGATTATTATTCTATGCTACTTTCTAAGATGGAATGCTGGTTTCAGGCTGCTAGTAAAAACAACAAAGGAGCAAAAAAAACATCCTTCACTGTCATGGTGAATTTTCTTAGAATCATAGAATCAAAGAGTTGGAAGAGACCTCATGGGCCATCCAGTCCAACCCCCTGCCAAGAAGCAGGAATATTGCATTCAAATCACCCCTGACAGATGGCCATCCAGCCTCTTCTTAAAAGCTTCCAAAGAAGGAGCCTCCACCACACTCCGGGGCAGAGAGTTCCACTGCTGAACGGCTCTCACAGTCAGGAAGTTCTTCCTCATGTTCAGATGGAATCTCCTCTCTTGTAGTTTGAAGCCATTGTTTCGCATCCTAGTCTCCAGGGAAGCAGAAAACAAGCTTGCTCCTTCCTCCCTGTGGCTTCCTCTTACATATTTATACATGGCTATCATATCTCCTCTCAGCCTTCTCTTCTTCAGGCTACACATGCCCAGCTCCTTAAGCCGCTCCTCATAGGGCTTGTTCTCCAGACCCTTGATCATTTTAGTCGCCCTCCTCTGGACACATTCCAGCTTGTCAATATCTCTCTTGAATTGTGGTGCCCAGAATTGGACACAATATTCCAGGTGTGGTCTAACCAAAGCAGAATAGAGGGGTAGCATTACTTCCTTAGATCTAGACACTATTCTCCTCTTGATGCAGGCCAAAATCCCATTGGCTTTTTTTGCCGCCACATCACATTGTTGGCTCATGTTTAACTTGTTGTCCACGAGGACTCCAAGATCTTTTTCACACGTACTGCTCTCGAGCCATGCGTCACCCATTCTGTATCTTTGCATTTCATTTTTTTCTGCCAAAGTGGAGTATCTTGCATTTGTCACTGTTGAACTTCATTTTGTTAGTTTTGGCCCATCTCTCTAATCTGTCAAGATCGTTTTGAATTCTGCTCCTGTCCTCTGGAGTCTTGGCTATCCCTCCCAATTTGGTGTCGTCTGCAAACTTGATGATCATGCCTTCTAGCCCTTCATCTAAGTCATTAATAAAGATGTTGACCAGGACCGGGCCCAGGACGGAACCCTGCGGCACTCCACTTGTCACTTCTTTTTACGCACTGGCTACAATTAAAACATAGTAGTCTGATCATTTCATGTTTTTCTCAGATGGCAACTCACTACTAGATGGCTTTTCAATTTCTAAGAACCCCAATATTTCAATAAGAAGTAAATTATCCTATGATGAGATTATGTATCTTTCTGTAATAGATGAATGGGCCTCATATTGCTTGGTACTCATTGAGAATATTTCCATCTCTCTTCTCACCACCCAGAGCTTGTGTATCTTTTTTGTTATCCATTTAGTTAATGAAATAAAAGAGCATGATAGAATTGTGCTCAGGCACATTGAATTACTGCCTTGTAAAATTGCTAATATGAATTATACTAACCTAACTTTAATGCCCTTTCACTTTTTTGAAGTATAAAGGCTAACATTTCTACTAATTGTTAGATGCTGATGAACAGAAAAGATGGAGAGAGATATTAGAAGGTAGAGAAGGTGGAATGGGGTGGAAAGAGAGAGAAATTATCAAAATTAATAAACTCCCTCTTGGCGCTTTTCATTGACAGAAGACAGATAAGACCTCCAATTATTCAGTCACATGCTCCCATTCTAGCAAATGCACAATGACAATGATAAGCTATGCCATGAAAGAGGAATCCCAGCAGAGAAAGATATGTCATTTTAAACATATTAAGCAATCTGCTGTAAGGAAAAACCTGCTCATGACCATTTTTTCAGAAGGTATTAAAGCTAGGACCGAAAAAATCCCCTGAAAGATTGACTTATTCCAGTCTTACTTCATTGTTGGTTTTGGAGCAGTTTTAAGAAACAGGCATCTCCCCATCATAGACTACTCTTCCATCGAAAAAGTATTCTCATGAAGAAGTACATCTGAGGCCCCTTCCACACAGCTATATAAAACCCCACATTATCTGGTTTGAACTGGGTTATATGGCAGTGTGTACTCAGATAACCCACTTCAAAGCAGATACTGTGGATTATCTGCCTCGTTATTCTGGGTTATATGGATATGTGGAAGGGCCCTGAGTGGTTAAAATAAACACATAAATGGTAAGCACCAAGAAAAAAGTTATATGAAATGTTCTTGGTTTCAGGAATAGTTTCTTGTGAGCAAGACTAATCTGTATTTCCTTTCTCCTTTTCACACATGTAGGTATCCCTCTGGAAGCTTATTACTGTCCATATTCTCATTATTTTTTAATTTGTTGTCAGAATATATTGCAAAGCAATTAAGTATGTCAAATGAAGTAATTGAAAAATAATTAAGTTTTAAAAAGAAAAGAAAACATTGTGGTTTGTTTTCTTCTTTCGCCCACCTAAAATATTAATAATTAATAAGTTATGTTTAATATACTCAAAAGTAATGTAAATCCAGTGATTTTGACCCAGATTTGGTCATACTTAAAGCACTGAAACTCAAGTGAGTTCTATTAATTTCAGTGGCATGATTTAAGTGTGTCTAAGTCTGGATTCAACACAATATATCCCAACATAGGCTTTCTCAAACAATTCTAGCTTTTCAAAATGAAGTGTCTTTATCTACATCATCAAGAATAGAACTTAGCTCTTCACCAAATAAAGACATGGGAAGTTTGGCTTACAAAACATATCTAAATAGTCATAGATGCATAATTTGCAACAAAATAGTAACTATAAAAGCATTCAAAATCAGAATGCAATGTACAAGAGTGGGCAAAATGCAGCTCATAAGCCATATATGGCACAATTCCCTGTTTTAAAACCTCCAAGCATCGCATGAAAAAATTAAAACCACTTTGTCAAAAAGGACTGTAAATATTAAGGAGGTCAGCAATGTATCTAGTATTTTATCTATGTCTCCTGAGTTTTGGATGGGCAGTTTTTAAACTGCTGGTCAGGCTGAAAAGTTGCTCCTGATCGCTGGTAAAGTTCCTGAAAGGAGGGGTTATTGGTTCTGCTCCCAAAATTTCCTTTAAGCCAAAGCCAGACTGATTAGCCCATTTCTGTAAAAACTTTTAAGACAAAAACTGAGTTGAATCAAAAGGGGACTGGTGGTTATGGCTACTTATTTCTTCTGTGAAAGATATGCAAACCTTCTTGGATCCATTCTGTCACAACTTCAGTAGTATCATTATCATTATGAAAAGTGTTTATTAATTATTATTCTTCCCACCAGGGCTCACAAAGCAGTGTTTAATATGATACACAAAAACATTTAAAAAAACATATTTAAAAATTTAAGACTACATCGAATAATACACTTTTGACTGCTCACTGGAAGCTCAGCAAGTTTAGAGACAGCCTGATTTCTCTTTGGAGAAGTTCCACAATCAAGGAGCAGCTACTTATCTCTGAATTCAAGACTAGGGAAATTTTAGATGGTACGAACATCTGGCAAGAAAATACAGGGGTTTTTTTCAACTTGTGTGCAGAAAAATGCACACAGAGAACTACAGAACAACTCTGAATTCAGGCTAAGAATTTGCAGTGAGCACTAGAAATGAATTGACTTTTAGTCCATGTGCACAAAACTCAATTCTTTTTTAGCCTAAGCTCTTGTCATTTTGGCAAGCTGATTTACATAGTAAAAAAA